TAATAATAAATGATAATAATAATAATAATAACAGAATCTTTATAGTAGAGAATAAATGGTCTAAAGAATACACATACATACACACGGTGAATGTGTGATGAGATAAAAACAAAGAACAGAAAGCATCAAATCAAAAATCAGTACATATTGGCGACGAAAGAAAAGAGACAATAACAAAATATTACTTGGGTCTGAGGGAAATGAAGGGGTCAACTGAATTAGAGAGGTAGAGCATCATACTGATTATCATTTTGACTATCTGAGATAGCCGTGGTTTAGCAGACTAGTATTAATGCTAGGTCTGGTCTCGTGGCTCAGTTGGTACGGCACCAGACAGGAAACTTGGTGGTCGTTGGTTCGAATCCGGCCGCGGTCCAGATCTTAATTTCACCTTCAATCACCACCCAGTATCACTGTAGTGAACCATTTCAAACGACCACGCTTCACAATAGCATATAAAGAAGAAGTAGATAGACAGAGAAGGATAATAATCTGGAAAAATATATGTTTGTCTAAGGGATAAATAGATGAAGGTTAACGAAATGTTTAAGTCTGACGACGAAAACGAGTGTATCCCTCTGCCGCATTATGACCGATTTTAAGCTGCATCACCAAGTTTCTCCACACGTTGATTCTTGTCGTCTTGAGGATACCAACCAGGCAATCCACCCCTGTCTGCACAGCTCAAAGCAACAGTAGAAGATTCCATGTTCTAGTGGCACCAGAGAAAACTGTTAGTAAATAGAAAATGAAAAAACCTGTGAATACTCTAAGCATATGCCATTTCACTTATTTGTAGTTATAGTTATATTTACAGGATCACATACATTCATGAATATTTTCTTAGCGTTTTCGTCATTAACTGGTTCAATTATTTCACTGTTTTGTTTTCTTTCATCTTAATAAGATTCAAGCATTTCGACAAGAACTGGATACTGTTGTCCCAGAATTAAATAAATTTAATCGTCTAGTACAAAACTTGGAAAATTCATTTCCTCTTTCTGTAGTAAATCAGTTGGGTGTAAACAGTGTGAATGAACGCGTTCGTGGTGAATTTAACCAACTTGTTATTGAATTATCGAAGTGGGAGAATGAAGCTAAAACTACAATTGATCCTAGTGAACACTACGCGCAATTAGTTCAACAGTTAGACTCACAGTTGAAAACAATACAAAGAAACATTGAAAGGCAAGTGCACGTATTTCCGCTTACCTCTTTCTCTGTTGGTAAAAGATATTTAACTCCTTCCCCTATACTGTCCGCTTTTATTGAGGATAAAGTCATAAGGGTGGCCGTGATTTACCTAACTCTGCTACTACTACTACTACTACTTACTTACTTACTTCTACTTTTACTACTTGGAACGAAGGAACGAAGAAGCTATCGCTGAACAAATATGCGGTGGAAGGAAGTGGAGATGGATTGGGCATACACTGAGAAGACCGACTTGGGACATCTTGCGCCAGGCCAGTTCGTCGAGTGGAATCCAGATGGGAAACGACGAGTTTGGCGTCCGAGGCTAGGGTAACATGGTGGAGGTGTTATGAGGAAGAAATGAGAGCTTGTGGGCTGTCGTGGAGCCAGGTTGAAAAGGTTGCAGAGAAAAGAGTGGAATGGAGACGTGCTAGTGAAGCCTATGTTCCACTAGGAACCCGAGGGACAAATGATGCTATATAATAACTGAGCACTCATAAAAGTTAAGAAAATACGATCAATTGTGTGGCATCCGCGCAGGAGCCCATATTTCAACAGAGACCGATCAAATCGGTCCAGCTGACGAGTCCCAAGTAGGACGAAAGGCCCATCGTGGATTCCACCGCTAGTCGCTATCCATTATTAATGTGTTGTCTTACATTCATCCAGTATCTCTCACAATCCCTAACTTCCACTTACATGTAACAGGATTCGGAACCAATAGGTCAAGTTCTGTTGATTTGAATTTTCGATATCACTGAACTCATCATATACTGTGACTTTTCCTTGGGTGCTGTAAATGTTAGTTCAGTTGACCTTTGGGTCAGACTGTTGAAAAGTTTCTTCAAGAAAGCAATTAGTTGAAGTGAAAGTTTGAAATGTGCTTACTGATATTATTATTATTATTATAACTATTGTGGGGGCCTGAATAAATCATTGATTTGAAACGTTAATGAACATGACTGGAAACCGGATTCATTGATGATCCTGTTATGTATAAAAAGTCAAATATGAACGAAGAATATTCTTTTCATTAACTTCTCTTTAGTTTTTACTGTTATAAAGTTAATTAATTTATCACTGTAGTGGATACCAAATTATAATTGGATTGATCTAAGTTTGTGGATAATAGTATGACATATACGTTTATGATTTGAGTATCTAAGATAGCCCTAGTTTGGCAGACTAGTATTTGTACTGGGTGGTGATTGAAGGTGAGATGAAAATCTGGACCGCTGCCGGATTCGAACCAGCGACCACCGGGTTACCGGCCTGGTGCTCTACCAACTGAACTACGAGATCCTTTGTTACATACGGTGATAAGTTGAATGTAAGCTGTAGGCGTCAAATGGTTGATGATTAATCATTATTGACCTATACAACATGGAGCAGGAAAGATATTAGTGAAGTTGAGGATGGCATTGTGTAGGGTGAGGGATTAGTACAGAGAATGACATTATTTATGAAAAGAGTAGGAGTGAAATGGACATTTCATAATAAAACGGTCAGCATGTGAAACAGTTGAGATAAAGATGATGATAAGAATAATGTGAATGATAAACGAAATGGGCAGAAATTTTGGTAGAATTATAAAGTGACCATATTGCCATTCAGGCAGTGGGTCGTAATCTATTGGTTCATTTTCCCTACTTCTCTAAATTCGCGATAAGTGCAAATATGATCCAGAGCTAACGGCAACTATTTTTCCTCACAATCCACCTTAAAACTGAATAACTGTCTAGTGGTCATTCAAGATATATTACTGTATAGATTTCCCAAAGTTCTAAAGAAGAGAAGTTACCTCTGTAGTCACCAGGTCGAATGTGAAGACAAATACTACACGATGACATTCGATGAAGGCCGCACCATTTAAATAATTGACAACAGTAGGAAAATGTTGGCCATCGGATTCCAACCCATTGGCTGAATGCTAACGTGGTTGCCATGAATCCTCTGTCGGTCCTGGGTTCGAATACTGATAGCGTCGTGAGTGCGCATTGCTGAGAATTTCAGAGATTTATTCGAATAAGTGAGACAAAATAGAGGAATTCAGTTAAAATTATCTTTTAAAAAAGAAAGGAATCGTAAAAACTTATTCAAAAGAAAATGTATCGATGAAGGAGTTTTATTTATTCAGTAAAGGCCTTAGAAAGAGCAAAGTTTGAATGTGTTCCTTCTGAGTGCAAGGCTCAGGATTAATTGACACTTTAGCCACATTTCCAACTACACGGAAATGAGTAAACGATTGTTATGTTACAGAGTCTTCGAAACATGGTCATAGTTTTTCTCCTGTCTTCTACATAAGCAATAAACTGAGTTACAAAGAGTGAATCAAAGAGAAAGTATTTTAACTTACTTTTACTTTTAATTGGATTGCCCATTTTACCATTACTATTGCCATTATCATCATCCATGCTATTGCAACTTTGAGCTCACCTCTTGGTCCTTTTTTGTACACAGTCTTTTTCTGTTCTAAATAAATAGGATATTTTTAAGGTGGTTTTACTCACAGACTGACATCGGTTGGAGAACCGTTGAAAACTCATGATGAATGAATGCTGCCTTCAAAATAAAACCCCAGATGGAAATCCCAAAGTTCTAGTGAGAAGCCATGACTTGTGCGGTCAACAGGTTGGAACGGAAGCGGATGCCAACTGAAGATCTTGGGTGGTAGTTGTGTCATATCGCAAACTGAAAGAAGTAGGAAATGTGGAACCTTGAACTCTGACCCAGTGGCTGGATGATTAACGCGTTCGCCTTGAAACGTGGAGGTCCTGAGTCCGATCCCCAGCCAGCCTATAGGTACACAATGCCGAGGAGTCTCATACTAGGATGAAACAGATCTTCAGTGCTCCCAGGTTTCAATGGTTCTTCAATTGATGTCAGTCCGTGATAAACACTGCCTTAAAAAGGAAATTCCTATACACCTTAAACCACAAAATAGAATACTGTTAATTATCTATCAGGGTAGTCAGTTAATGTAAAAATGAATTACATACACTTATGCAGTTCTAACACTTGTTACTTGCCACTCTGAAGTAAAATTGAGCAATATCATTCATTAGTATGCTAATAAATTTCTATCAAGCAAGAACCTTCACCGTCTAGTCAAATCCCAAAATTCCGAATCAGCTCAAGTTAGTTGCTATTAACTTGACTATGATAACATTTGTGTTTGATATCAATTGAGCTGATTCACTGGAATATGCCACTTTATCATAATGCTTTGCAAACTTCTTTTAAAGAAATATTTTTTACTGAAAATACTGTTATGCCTTATAAAATGGATTATTCACATCTACTGTTTAACTAAATGAAATAGGTAGGAACTATGAACACTAATGTACACATATGGATTCATTTTCATCAAATAGTCTTCAGTGTTTCTTATACCACAGCACATCTATTGTGAATTCAACATTTTATCTATTTGTTCTTTTTATGTGGTAACTTCCAAGTTATTGACCATGAAGATCTACAGGTTTGTTGGGAAATAAAACTCTCATGCTAAACCAACAGACATGAATCACTTCTAAGTTGTCTGCTGTGCTATACCTCAAAATAATGATGATTTTAATCTCAGCTTACTGCATTTGTTTCGTTAACAGTATGTTTAGGAGAAATACAGATCATCACCTAACACTATCTCCTTGCATTGTTATTTTACTACAAATTTAAGTAGTCGGAAAACAGAACCTCTAAAGAAAACGGCTGATTTGAATAAGACAAAAAAGGAAATTGAAGAAATTAGACCAGTCTTGGAGAAAGCTCAAGAGTTATGCAAACAGTTGTGTGAAAATTTTTCAAATCCAACTGATCAGTACAATATGAAGACTGAGGTAAGTGTAATTGTTTATTGTAGTGAGTGTGTCAGTAGTGTATTCTAATTATTTAGAATGAGAATTATTTGTTAAGGTTGAATTTCAGTTGGCCAGTGTTTTCATAACAAACTGCATATACCTATCGGCGTAATTAAGTGACTTTCAAGTTTATTTATGGCAGATAAACATAAATATACAAAATCAAGTTTATTTTTGCTTATCGACGAAGTTTCATTGATGGTTATGTTATGGTTGTTGTTGATTGATTGTTATGGTTGAACCGAATTGACCGGCACTGCTCGATTCAATCAACTACGGGATGATACAAGCAACCCTACAAAAATTACACTTGTCGCTTGGTAATATAGCAGATAACACTCAGGTGTTTGAGACGATCGGTCCAAAATTCGAGTCTTGGGGGGAACAACATCAGTCACTCACTAGGAGCCAAGTATATCCAGCCGAAAAGTCCAAATTGGACGAAAGGTGCATCCTGGATTCCACTGCCAGCCACTACTCATCATTACCATAGTTTTTGTTGATTTGAGGTGAAGCTTAAAATGGTGTAAGTACACTGTGTTTTATCCCGTAATTCTATCACTTTACGATCTGCGGATTATGTGGCCGACACATAGACTGGTTTTCAGTCATGTTCGGAAAATGTTTGAGAATCCTGTTTAAAATATATAGGATGCAGGTGAAATTTATGTTCATTAGATATCACTATGAAAAGTAAGACTAGCAAGAAAGCTTGAAAATTTCAGTAACTGATAATAAGACTTAACTGATTAGTCTTGATATGTGGTCACCTCATTTGGATGCATGGATACTACTTCAATCAACAACTCAATTAGTATGTGATTTCGGTTACCATTAGAATCCAATAGATGGTCCCACTTTATCTGGGATTTCGCACCTAAATGTACTTGAGTTTGATATAGTATTTCCGTCGTGTTTCGAACCCAGCATCCTTTACTTTGCACGTCACTACTTTGTACAGCCGGTGAATGATGTGCAATACCTTTTTTGCAGCAGCTATTATTTGTAACCCTAACCGGAAATTTACACTAATCGATTTACAGGGTCAAACTGAGCGTTCTATTTTGTTCATCTGTAAACACACCAAAATGCAAAGAAGCAAAATAGAGGTATCAATTAAGGCATCTCATACGTCAATAAAAGTTGATGGAGCCTCTACTGAAAATATGAACTACGAAACTTCCAAGTCTCTACTCTAGTAGTAAGCAGTAGGAAGAGTTGATAGTGGTGACTTAGCCACTTCATGCTGAGAGTTCAAACTGTATCAAAAGTATTGTCTCTAAAATAAGCTTATTATTATCATTACTAGATACTGACAACTGTAGAAATCAGTTATGTGGTGACAAGTGATAATTAAATATTTATACTGGTTCTACAGAAGAATTTTCGAGGATTGTTTCACTAGCTGAATCGTTATCTGAATTGAACTCAATATTGCAAGAAATCGCATAATAAATAGGTTCCCAATATTTCAATACTTGGCAGTGTAATTAGAACAATAAAAAACTAGGGTCGAAACTAACTGCTAGTTGTATTGAAGTTTTAAAATTAGTACGATGGTGATGATAAAGAAATGAACTCAAGTGGCTACCAGCACAGTTTTTTCCCTACTGAATGATTACTATAAATTCCATCAAATTTGTAAATCTTAAGCTTCTGTTTATTGAATATTTGTACAAGCATCGTCAAGTTACTCAGAAATGGTTGAAGGCATTAAAGCTAATGCTTTGTTATCAAGTTTACCTGAGCTACGACCAAAAAAATACTGTTTTGTTATTTGCATCTCTAGGTCTCAGATCTTCAGAATACCTATGATCACTTACTTAATGAGTGCCATAAACACGAAGATGCACAAACTCGGGTGCCCTCACCACCTCCGGCATCAGAAGTCAACCGATCGAATCAAGTAGAAGATTTAAACCACTGGTTATCAGTTAAAAACACTCAATTACAAGATATATCACACGATTTATTAGATTCTGGTGTATCACAAATAAATATACCAGAAAGAAACTGGTTGAACGCGAATTACAAAACTTACAGGTAAATGGTTGTTGTCTACTGTTTTTAATTCAGTTTAAATTGAACCACAAACAGAGTAAACTACTTGAATTTGCTTTTCAACGCAGGTTCATCAGTTGCAGACTAGATTATCAGAGGGGAAGTTTGAATTTATCTTAAATGATTATCAATAGAATGTTAAGAACACCTAAATATCTATCATCTGAGGGATATGCTTAAAAAGTATTTTTACTCATTAATTAGCACTATTTCTTCTTTATGGAGTTGATATCACAATTCTTGACATAACACGCTTCACTTGTAGCTTGTTATTTGCACACTTAATCGATACTATCATCCCTTTCTTATTCCCGTTAATATCAGGTTTCTCCAAGCCATTTGTATCTACTGTCTTTTATCTTTTCAGATCTTGAATTTTCATCTTCCTCACTACTTTTTTGTTGTTGCTGGTGTTGTTGAGCATCAGTTGTTCTGCAGTTCTGTTTTTTTTTAAATTTTCCTTAGTTGTCTAGTACTGAGGAAATTCATAACTTATTTATCTTTTATCGTCTGTGTTAGGGCTTGTTTCCGAGTACACAAAACGTAGACATCATACATCAGCTGGTTATTTGTTGTTGTTGAGTAGGTTTTCTATAAAACAAGGTACTTACGTTACTGTTGAAATCAAACTGTAAGCTTTTGGTATTGTGGATTACAGCTTATTACACTAATCGCAAGACAGCAGGTGGTAGGACTACAACATTGATATATTTCTAATATTTCTTCACCGGATGTCTGTAGTTTATTTTAAATAAATTATGGGTTTGTGAATATGGAATATGAAGAGACATGAAGACTGAAATTCATTGTAAACGTGAGTTGAGGGTAAAGTTTAAACCTACAGCATTCAGACTACTAGCTTCTAACCCAACAACTTACTAAGTTAATGTTAATATTTAATTGTAATTTGTTGAAGTAAATATCATAGGTTGTAAACAGTTGACGAGAACCGCCGAAGCAATAAAATGGATCCATATTATCCTGCTTCGATGTTTTTTTTGGCTCTTTTAAAGTTGATGGAGGGAAATATGTTCTAGGAAACTATCTCAGTTGGTCTTAACAACAACCTAACAGTGATTACGTTTTGTAACTGGGTTAGAACGCAAAGGTTTTCCCATATAATTAGTTTGTTGTCTCCGAGTGAGAAGTTGCAGATCATTTATTTGCACGAAAGTTGTGTTAGACCCTCGATAGTTTAGGTGAAGATAAGACTTGACAAGCGGTGACTCACCCAGAAGAAACTTAAGCTAACAGCGCCTGGTTCAAGTCCTGCTTCACCCCAGTTTTCCTTCAAATTTTACTCATCATCCACATGGGTTGATACCAGTTGGTCCAAATTAAACTTGTCTTGGATAGTTTTATCAGCAATATATAAACATATTCAAAAATCTGTCTTTTATAGAAAATGTTCCATCTTTGTTTTTCATTCATCACAGATTTAATTGTTAGAAGTTTCCTTCTAAATTTTTTCCATTTTTAATTTTGTATTATGCCAACGTTTTCTATATTCTATCCACAGTCCATGTCAGAGGAATTAAAGTGAAACAAAGAGAATTGAAAGATTTGCAGGATAGTGTTCAGTTGAATGAGACAGCTACACCAGCTCAGATTAAGTCTATGGATTTATGTATGAATCAAATGAATTTATTACAGAAGGCTTTAACTGGACAACAAAATCAGTTAAAGTCAAGAATCAGTGATGCTTTCCTCCTATCTGAACAACTGGAGCAATTAGAAGTAAGGTTTTAATGATGGAGAGGATTCTATATTTATGATGTGACACATTATATATATATATATATATATATATATATATATATATACTTTAAACAGTTTATTTCAATAGTATACATCAGTAGAAGATATCACAGCTTCATGTTTACCAGTTTCTGAAAGTAAAATATCATAAGGTTTAGTGAGAGGTTTTTATGACCTTGTTTAGATCTATCTGAAAATTTGAACCTGATGCCTAGTCCTATTGTCTTACTGGACGTTTTGACATGTCTAAGGACAAATCGAAGGTAATTAAAGTACCTGGGATTTAGATTATCAAATATTCCATTCACTGTAATCGTGTATTTTTCGATAAGTAGAAAAGATTTTCATTTCTCATATGAAACTTTAGTTTCATTCATGTGATCACTTTCGGAATGCGCATAGGTCTGTAACCGGTTTTGTACTTGGTTATGTCCATTTCCCTATCCTACTGTATGACTGTGAAATATGACCATTAAAGTGGAGGACATAAGTAGGCTTCAAGTACTTGACCACCCTTGGCTTCGTATCACCGGTCGTGGAATCACCACGTTTGAAACTTAGTGGTTAAGCACAAAGTCTGAGGTGAAGGAGGTAAGTGAGTTGAGGAGATTGTAAACCTTTATCACCTGAATTGACTCGAATATGTGCTACGCATGCCTAGTGACCATCTGCACCGACACACAATGTTAGTCGAATCAGGTTTAGCCTTGAAAAAGGGTAGAAGTTGTCAGATTAAAACATGGCATCAATTCACTAAGTCTCTGACTGTTGATATGAGCCGTTTAGAGGAATGTTAACTTCCTGGTTAAGGTTCATATGACAACCAAAGTTGGTGGTTGAATACTTTAGCCGGTATGGTTCATAAAGGATCTCACTGGCTCAGATGTATCCACACATTATCTTTATCCTGATCGCTATACGGTAATTCATTATTTCCTATAACCTCTCCCCATCCCTCATATTCTCTGCTTATAGCTTTCTGCGACTCATATTTATTTCTGTTTCTGTCTTTCGTTTTGATGTACTGATATGATATATGACTAATTGGAAAGCTACACAGTATTTCCAGGACTAATGTTGATACTGACTGACTGACTTACTCATTTACTGACTGACTCATTTATTGAGTATAATTGGCAGAAAACTGCTTAAGCGTGACCCGTAATCAGGAATGGTATCATGGAATCTATTTATGCATCAAATAATCCTAATAAGCATAGTAGTGGTAATCTTGAACACTTAAAAACTTTACTAAGTAGAGATGCATACTTAAATATTGAAATACAAATAGGCTTAAAAGCTGCATCAAAAAGCCTACTGTTCAAAGCTGGGCAGTATTTGTAGGTTTGTGAAATTTATTTCTTAGTGTTTTATTTTGTGTGCTTGATAATGTAGTGTAGCTCACTTCTCTCAAAGCATATTGTGGAACATTTACGCATATTTAACCACTGAGCACACAGTATTTGAATCAATATAATAAAAGGTGTTTTAGATGTACAAGAAACGTTAACACTAAGCTAGGCAGAACATTTGACTCCGCGATTGTGCACAGTTTTGTGTAATGCACGGGTGTGTGGGTACTAATTGTCCAAACTTTGGTAGATGAAGCGGGATTTGAACCCCTGGCCTCATGGCTGCAAGTGGCGACAAAGCTTTATATTTTAAGGCAGTAAAAAGGTTGGTTCTTTTATGGTTATTTTTGTTTGTTCACATTATTTACACTTCAATTGGACAGCCATGAAATGCTTGTCTTTCAGAGAAATACTCTAGATAAATGAGGCTTGTTACCTGCACGAAAAGAGTTAAAATCTCCTATTACTCATACTTCCACTTGATGAGACAAACAGACAGACAGAATCAACGTATAACCTCGTACGGAAGTACATTTGTTCAGGTTGCCACACTTCGGAGTAGCATACAAAGTAGACCAAAGTTTATTGAAGGAAAAGGAATTTGAAAATCATGGTTTGTGACAATTTTCAAACTATAGTAGAGGTCAAAGAGTGAGTGTATTTATGCTATAGGGACTGCTTTCCTGCTATCTCAAAAATGCGAACCAGACAGTTTACTCCTCCATATACGTCTCAGATCAGCAGTCAGAGACTTCATAGACCGATACCGCATCTTCGTCTGGCCATCTTGAACTTTCTTCCAGCTCAATCCTACTTCGATAAACATTGGACGTCGACTAGTTCAGCATGCATAATAAATATTCAAACCATCTCAGTAGATGAATGTTAATAACCTCATCGACTGACTTGCCTTCTTTGCCTAGTGCCCCCCGCCTAACCTTTAGATCTCTCACATGGTGATTCTTCAATACGTGACCAATGCTTCGAAGGCACTATTGGTTGACGAAGAAGAATTTAAAGCGTTTGTTTCGTTTGTTGATATTTTTTCAAGATTCTCATAGTCATAAAGCAATGATATTAGGCACGATGATTTGCTGATAGGATAATTTGTGCAAATTAGGATAATGATGCATCACTTCATGTCCTCAATGTTCAGTTAATTATTTAAGTCATTTTTTATATACTATGGTATAGATAGCCAGGTGATATTCTTAGCCTAAAGACAGATGCATCGAACCCTACAAAGCTGCATGTTGCAACTGTTAAAAGCTGTTATATCTTTTTGACCCGATCAATAATGATGAATCTCCCACTGATGAGATAATTTAGTAATCGACCTATAAATGCTTATCATAATTTCAGATTGATTTCAGTCTTCAAGTACTGATTATTAGTGAATTTTTATCAAACTTTCTCACTGATATTTACAGACATGGATAACTACTGAAGCTATTCCACCTGTGAATGAAGCTTTAGCGCAAGATGGAAACTACTTGGAGGAAAAACCACTTCCATTGGTAACTCAACAACAAAAGCTACAAGATATTATACAATCAACTCATGATAAACAACATCAATTGAGTTCTCTTGTGAAAAAGTTAGATGATATCAAAAAATCAAATTATAAATCGTCTGTTGATGATAATCAACAAAAGAAGTTGTCTGACACTGCAAATATTTTACAGAATAAGCTTAACAAACTAGAGAATGGTGCTAAAACGAAACTAGTAAGTTCGATGTTAGGTATGCCATCATTTCAAATTTACCGTACTATCACTGTTTTTCACCGTGAGATGATTCTAAAATCTACGATTTTCGATATCTATAACCCTATTGACTGTTAATTTTCTGTAGTCTTTGTTCGTCTGATGTTTGAATGCTACGAATTGAACTGAATGCTGAATATTGAATCTGAAATTAAAATCTCTTAGGATATCAACACATTTTGATAACAACCTTTGCTCCGAAGAAGAGAATGGTCTATCTAGATTGCTAATGTTGATCACCAAGGAGATCAGTTGTTTTCTGCATACTACTTTTGTTTATTTTTCATCAAAAGACTGAAATATTTGATGGTATTGATAGATTTTTTTCTTTCAACGAGATTAATAATACGTACGCCTTTGTCACTGAGTTCATATTTGATTATTACATGTAAAGTCTGGGTGTATGGTGTCAGATTACTAAGGTAAGACACTCGATAAGATTTTCATGTTTTGCAAAACCACCTCATCAAGTAACTTAACGCCTTCAGTTATCTGAAGTGGGATTAAGTTTGTAAAAGGCTCATAGTAGAAGTGTGGGAAGATGGTTTCAATTTTATACATCTACTCATTGTCATTACAGGTCTAATAAGGAAATATAAGCTAAATGGATGAGTACTAGATGCCATATGTTAATGGCATGAAACTTCCTGCCATACGTCTCATAATCTAATAGTAGGGCGAACCTATTACCTTCTTATTATCGACTTTAGAAACACCTTACATATATTCATTCACCTCTTGTTCATTCTAATATCCTCCTACTGTTACCTAATTCCCATCTGTGCTGGTATGATGTCTGGTAACTTGAACTGCTACACGTGCGTACGGGGTTCTGTATCGATCAGTACTTATAGTGTTTCATCCTGAAGTGTACACAACACCATCCCCCCCACCCCAGTTCATCCTATTTCCGCAAAGGAACTCCTGATATAATTGATTTACGATGTCTTTTTTATTCCTTTTCTCAAGACTCAAGTTGATGAGGTTCAGAAGGCTTATTCTACTGCACAAAATTCAATTGATGCTATTAAACTATCATGCGACGATCTGGAAACCCGGTGGTTAAACCTACAACAAGTTTTATCTACTATGGAAGTGAAAGACTTGTTGAAAGCGTCATCTTCAACATCTCCGCCATCTTCGCCATCTCTTACAAGATCATCAAATCAATTGAAACAGATACGTGGTCAAATGATTGAACTTCAAGCTGAACTACTAGAATTAACAAATTATTCACTAACTGCTTCATCAAGAGAAGATTCCAGTGTAAGCCTGCTTCATGACTTAAATCTGTTAGAGTCAACACTACAATCAGCTGATGACCATAAGCCAAAACAGTCAATCAGTAAACTTTTAGACGATTTGCAACTAACAAACAAACGATTAGAAACTATTGGACAAGCGTTAGAAGTGAACTTTGAAATGTTTCAGATTAAAGATATGGATCCATTTTCAATACATTTTATTAAGAAATTAAATTATATTTATGCAGAATTACAAAGTATTCAGTCGAATGTCAATGAAAATGAGAAAATAGCTAATTTAAATTCAGAAACAACAAAACAAAGAATTGGATATTTTGAAGAGTTATTAAAGCAGGTACTTGTATGCTTGTTATGGTTTTTCTTCCTTTTCCACATGAGAATATTTGATTTTATTGTGCCCCGGTGGCCTAGTCGATAACCATTTGGTGATTGAAGCGATTGGTATTGGGTCCGAGTCTCAGTGAGTGACGTTGCCTTCACTAAGGTGCAGGTATATCCAGCTGAAGAGTCCCAAATAGGACGAAACGCGCGTCCTAGATTTCACTGCTGGCCAGCAAGCAGACATCAAAACTTTGTTATTGTTCAATCAACTGACGTTTGGTTGTTGTGCATACAGTTTACTCTGATTTCAGTATGCTACTTTTTCTTAACTTTGAAATGCACCACCTTGATGTTGGAAAGCAAGAAAACACATTTCGTTATGAAAAAGCCTTCATTTAAATATTATTGTTAAACACTGAATCAACTTTGAACCTTTACTCAGTTATTCCAGGTTCAACACCATTAATGAGTGACTCAGCACACTACATGAAGTTACTTATGTGAAACAACTTTTCTGACTGTCGACTCTTATTCTTTATTTCTATTGGTAGTAAAATTTCCTACTGGGTGATGACTGAAGATGAGATGAAAATCTGGGCCGTGGCCGGATTCACTGGTTTGAATTCGGCCGCAGTCCAGATTTTCATCTCATCTTCAGTCATCACCCAGTGGGAAATACTAATCTGTCAAACTACGCCTATCTCAGATAGTCAAATTTTCCACATCTCTGGCATGGGGGTTGTCTCATTTCTATTACATGTGTTGAGTGTTGATTCGATGAACAAATATTCAGAAGTCAATCTTTCTTCACCTAATTATCTTAGACTTAAGTGCAGTGGTTTTGTTCTATCTTATTGTGGGTTGCGTGTTTTAATGCATTCATTGCGATAGACTGATCTTATTCAGGTCTGTCATTCTATATTTAGCTAAATTTCTATGTTCCGCTGGTGTGACTGACCCCAACTGGCTACGTTGACTTATGTACTTGACCTTGCAGTTATTATACGGATTTGATAGATTAGATTATTATGCTTGATTGGTTCTGTCGGATCCTTAAGGCAACAAAGCTTATCTCTGAGCGAGTTTGTAGGTTTAAATGCCACACTTATATTAACCTTTCTGATTAACTTGTCGTATGACAGTGTTCAATATTGGCTGCACGACACGAGATCTAAACCCTCTCTCACTAGGTATCCTCTGGCTAGATATTTCTGCATACACTTTGATGCTCTTATCAAGAGTCGAACTCAGTAACCCCATCACTTCAGAAACCAGTTTGTTAAGTTTGGATTTTGATTTTTTTTACTATACTGTCCTAATATGGGAATTTTCACGGATATCGGTTATAGCTAATCCATACTCAAATTATTCGGCTGATTCATTTTTAGCTGGAACAAATCACGTCACAAGCTGAAATTATTTGTGTGATATAAACGTATTTAATTTCTTCTACTTACTCGCAAACAAATCATCGTCTTGATAGAGTTCTAGTCTCTACTGTTAATTGTATCTTACTGAATAATTTACCACCAGGCAATGAATAATATGAATTTCAGTTTCATGTTAAGCTCAAGCTCCCTTATTTTTCCAGATGTACTTTAGTGAGGAGTGCCGGTAAGCGCCAGACCTGGTAACTGATACGGCCTTCTATACGATTAAGTCTTACTAGATCCCAGGAAATACGTTGTATTACGATACAGAATGATAAGGTATATTGATCTTTTCATATGAACCGATGGGTGGATTTCAGTGAACACTTATTACTAGGTGAGGCAATATCAGTTATTATCCGATAAGCAAATCATGTATATACTATTGTTCAGCGAAATCCATGCGTCTAAGTGTCAATGAGAACACGATCATCCTCTGAAACGGAAGTATGTTCAGTCGATGTTCTCGAAATACGACCAACCATATATACTGGATATTCTAGTGCTAGTCAGCACTGAAAAAATTAACATCAGAACAAAAATTACGGTAATATTGACGTAATTATTTAAAGATACCTAAATACTAACATAGGGCTATTAGTTCGGTTCAAGCATTTGGAGAATGGGGTAGTCTAAGTTATAAATTTTCTTTTTCTTGAAAATTTGTAAATGTCTACACTATTCATTTCCGTTTGAATGTTATATTTCACTAAAAATGATTTTCTACCGCTGTTTTGCAGCTTAACGATTGTAAACAAAATTTGAACGATACACGTATTGATTTAGCGGGTAAAATGACATCATTGTCTGATGAAAAGAAGCTTAACCCAATTTACTCGAATTTCCTAACTACCCTGAATCAATATGATACTCAATGTAATAACGTGGATAAACAAATTACTCAACTTATTTCCGCCTTAAATAGTCGTGTAAAACAAACGGAACAATTGGCAACACTTCGTCAAAATGTTAACAGTTCATTGAAGAAAGTTAGAGAGTCTCGTCAACTATCTCCTACTAAAGAGTAAGCTAAGTTTATTAAATTATGAGTTTGATGTCATTTGTTGTAAATACGATAACACTTTACAGACCCTTGAATTATATTGCTGTTTGGAGGTGAAAGTGGAAAACATACCTTATTCTTTTCAGAGTTTGTTATTAACTAAACAACCAACTTTTTTTGACAGTTTAGTTTACAACAGTGTTGTGTATTAGATAAACTCGAATATGTTTGAATACTCATGAATTAAATGGAAGAAATAGAGAATTCAACTTATTCCTGTTACAAATCAATATCAGTTTAACAATTACATGAAAATAACTGAATATTAAGTAGTTATTTCATCCCATGTTAAGACCATGAGGACTCCTAACTGGATTCTGAAATTGGTTATTCTTATGAGCTTTTTAAAAGCACAAGAATGGTAAGAACCAATTATTTTGTTCTCTCTGAATTTTTCCGAAAGGCACCATCTACTCTCTGTTTATCAACTTGAAAACTTATTTTCTCAAAGCTCATTCCACTAACCAAGTTTTAGGCAGCCAAGTGTGAGTGAGTATCCACCCTCATATAATAAGTATAACTCATATTGTAGTGAATGAGCCTGTAAGTGGTTAGTGAATTACAATTTAAAAACTTTGACCTGTACTGAAAAACATATTATTATTCTTTTTATTTTTCCTAGATTTAACCAAACAGAACTCGATGAACTGAATTCTAATATGCGATCATTAAAACAGCTAAGTGAAGAACTTTGTAAACCATCAAATGCCTTACACGATAATCAGATTAGTTCAAATCAATTAGAGTATGAAATTAAATCCCTGGAGAATGTGATTCATGAAGAACTAGCCAGTCTGTCAACTGATATATCAACCGAGAAACGGGGTGAAAGACTTATATCACACCTACGTGATACTCTGATTGAGGTGTGTACTAAAAAACATTGTGAAATATTTGTTCATCTGTTGCTTAAAGAATACTTTTTCTAATTTTCATATTAGATTTGTTTATTTGATTTGTAACACACAGTGATCTAGTATGATCTACTTGATGATGTTTTGAGCATAAATTATTATTCATAATCATATCAATGTGATATGATTATGAACAATAATTTATGCTCAAAACGTCATCAAGTAAATCATACTGGACTACCGTGTGTTATAAACCAAATAAATCTGACATGAAATTAGATTCTACCACAGTGCCCAAGTTTTACACCTATATTAATTTAATTTTCATATTTTGAATGATCAGCAGTAGAAGTGATAATAGTATGATGATGAATAGTGGCTGACAGTGGAATCGAGGATTCAAGTTTTTACTTATTTGGCAGTCGTTGGCTGAATATATCACAGTGTTGTTGCTTTCACTGAGAGCAGAACTCAGCATGTATAGCTTCGAATACTAGATTGTTAACCACTAGACTACTGAGTCATAATAATCCCTCCTTGAGCAGCGGGTAGAGTTTGGTATTATACCTTCTTTTTTATTTCCTATTCTCGATGGGTCTCGACAGAACTGGTTGTTCAATGTTGATATATGGGCTCCTGTTTCTATGCCTTGATATTTATTGCCAGCAATTTTAGGTTGGTATTATGGACGAATATCAGTTAGCAGGGAAGTTCGGGACGCATACTTCGTCTTATTTGGGACTCAACAGCCGAGTTCACCCATCCTCCAGTGTTGTTGTAGACAATGAAACTATAATATCAACGCATACTCATCGCTCCTGAAGTACCTTAGATAACTCAGCAGCCCGTTAGATAACACTGAGTACTGGTTTTTACCCTAAGTAGAGACATTAATACACTTAGAGGCGAATACGTTAAGTCAATGAGTGCTGAGTAGCAAGAATCATTTGTTCTGGATTTTACTGTTGTTCGCTATTCATCGTTTCTGTCGTAATAACGTCCCGTTAGCTTACTTCTCCCGTTTTCGTTGTCTTTCTTATTTCCTTATACTGTTTTGGAATGCTACAATTTAGGCCGAATGAGTCATCCTTTCAAGCTTCCTGTTGATCCTTAGTTGTTTACACTAGACTGAACTGGTGCGCGAAATTTGCTACGCACTGTTCACCATATAAATAATTTTGCTTTAAAACAAAACAAAAATTGAGATGCCCTCAGCAGCTTTATGCACGTTCTCGAAGTATGCAGTGAGCTACACCTAGTGTGTGATGGCTATTGATACCACCTGACTACCTAAACCCTCGGTAGGTGAAGTGGTGTTCGAACCCATGACCTAATGGTTGACAGTCGACTGCATAAATCAGTAAGCCCACGGCTCCATTTTAAAACGCTCTACCAACGTAAATAGATCGTTAGTTATCCACATACATAAAGTTTGGGTTGCTTTATTTCATTTTCTATTGACATTCTACCTAACTGAAGGCTTCAGGCTGTTGGTAAATGTGTACCGTTATTATTGTTGCTTTTATTATTAGGGTTAGTCTTCTAGGCACAGTTTCTCAGTAATCGATTCTGTGTAGCATGATGTCTGTACGGCATGTAATTTCCTTCTCAGCGCTACAGTGGATATTTCTCAAGCTTGTTATTCCGGTTTCACGGTTTAATAAAATCGAAGACCTTTAAAAATATGCATTGATTGGTTACCGGAGAGTAAAAAATTTCATAGTTTCTCCTCCTGAGCGCAAAACGAATTCCGTCAGTTATTTTGAAGTGCTGTAAAGTAACTAAAAGACCTGCCATTGTGGTGCACTTCAGTTGACGCTAGTTGGTTGGAATTAGTCGGCAGGACACCCTGGATCTAGACTTCGTGCTTACCGAAAGGGTTATAATTACATTGATAGGTAGTTCGGTTCAACAGTAATATCTTTAAATGCTGCAGTGAATGAGCTGAAGTCAAATCTACCGGGGATATAAGTTTCATTCCTGTTTAGGGTTCTCTTTACTGATGAGCATCAGCATGTGAGAAAATTTGACTCGGGGTCTGTTGATTGTTTTCTCCATGCATTTGTTCACCTAAGCTAAATTAACTTTGCAAACTATTTTATTCTGGTTTAAGTACTCAAGTGTCTCTATTAAGTGTGTTTCTGTTTCTTCTACTCAAAGTAAACAATCCATTTTCTCTTTAACATTAGGTTCAACATGATCTTCATATACTAGCTACCCACTCAACTTCACCAGATCTTTTATCAACTGACAAAAGTACGATTACCTCACTACTCGATGGCTACCATACACTGAATAGCCGTATACTAGCGAGAAATAATAGCTTTGAACAGTTAGACAAATTAATACAATCCATCAGTAATGTTCCACATCAAAATATATTGAATTCTGAGAGAGATCTGCTAAAATCTGACTATGATTCTGTTCATAAAGAGATACAATTCAATTTGAATAAGTTTCGTTTAGCCAATGATAGCGAAAAATTGTTCAATGTACGGATGCATGAAATATCGAAATGGATAAAACAAAAACAAGATTATCTGAATACACCACCGTTGATACAAATGACTAAGACAACACCAGGAAATACAACAATTCTATCTGATCTTAGTGAAGAGTTAAAAAAATTAAAAGTAAGCCTTATATGTTTGTTCCTTCCCTTTTATTCAGCTGAGCCTGACTCACAATATTTTGTCTATCAATCGTATAACGCAACCTTATAATGTTAGGTTCCTCTGTTTGGATTCCTACTCCTGTCGCCACTTTTGCTCGAGAAACTTTCATTGGATTGTGTATATTATTGCGACAATTTGTTATCACTTAATAACCTTCCTTGAATTTTCCGTTATGAATAACCTTTACTCTATGACTGTTTCGATCCATCGTAACCCTATATTGCCGAATACATTTCAGACAGGCTGTTTGAAATTGAGAGTACTTAGGACAGGAATTTATCCTAGTGTATGTTGCAGTATGTGAAGTTAATATATTAGGTCATTCATAGGTCAAGGTTGGGTTATTAAGAAATGATAACTGCCTTGATTGAGTCGTAACCGGATCGATGGACAAGCAAAGATGAGAGGCAGACATTTGGTAATGAATGATTTCTCACGGTATCAACTTGACACTATGTATTACTGACTGATATGAACAGCTGAACACAACTCACCAATCAGTATTGTTGGTTATTTAGGTCAAAGTGATGCAGAAACCTGACGGCTGTTTGCTTTACTCGTTTGTAACAAGTCCACCGGTAGCTCTACTTTAGCTAGTCTATCAAATACATCATACAATGAAACGGTGTCTGTTTGCTGAATGGCATTTTGGATACAATTCATTGTCCATGGTCATATCCAAGTAACTCGACAACTTTGAGATGGAATTTATGGGGTTCTCTCGCCTAATATTGTTTTACAAGGGTAATAGGGAATTCCAAATATCAGAAAGACGTGATATGTCACTTATATTACGTGTGTTTGATATTGTTTAAGTGAGCAAAGCTTTAGTTCCAAATCTCTGCTGAAGCTTACCTGAGTTCTTTTTAAGACTGTCACTGTGCCCTATCTAGTTCCTTGGTTGCGTTCCGCAGCATGTACACCATGGAATTCAGTAACACTAAATTGTCCAGTCTGAGAGGTTCAATAACATCCCTTAACGTAAACAGTTTATCTCCATATGAGTTTTTAGGTTTCAGAATTTTATATTAGCCCAGTTGGTAGAGCAACGGCGGGAAACCCGGTGGTCGCTGGTTCCAATCCGGCCACGGCCCAAGTTTTCATTTCACCTTCAATCATCACCCAGTGCCATTGCTAGTCTGCCAAACCACGGCTATCTCAGATAGTCAAAAATGATGAGACTTCTAATTTTATTCTTAATCTGGCAATAATCTAACAGTTTTGAATTTTGTTTCAGTGATATTACCTTTATTATTTGTATTGTCTATATGTAATGTCATAGTCAGTAGTATTTTTCCTACTACCTCTTATGCATTTCTGGATGGATTTCCAGGAGTGTTTGTTGAGCAATAGCATTTCTTAGATATCATATTTTTTGATTTAAACTTCCAATTAACTGGTTAATTTCTTCATCCAATCATTAAACTGACTGACTAACCTAACCTTAAAGGGTATCACACGAGATGAGTTAAAGTCTGAGTATTCATTTGAGTTTAAAGATGTTTTGTCTACGCTAGTATGTAGTAAACCTTCTTCACGTTACTTTGCAATCTGGTATAGCTCTCCATTTGTTTCTATTTCATGTGTAAAATGGATTGTGTCAGCCACCGGCTTTTTGTGTATTAGAAATCTGTTGATAATTTTCTGGTCTCAGCAATTTTAATGTCTGGTAATAATTTGCTCTCTGAACACTGTCGTCTATTATAATCTCATTTCATGTATTAGAAAAGTGAAAAATGTATTAAAATGGGTATTTTACTGTTTTATCAGTATTTAATTTAGTATTTTACATCTATTATTCATGCTGTTTCTCATTTAGAGTTTATCAGAAGATATTGAAAATTATCGTTCAAATATTGAGGAAATAAAGTTAAGTGGTGATCGTCTGTGCAAATCTGGAGGATGTAAGTGACTTATTTTCACGTTTACATGACAATATCATGTCTTATTTGACGCTGTAAGAGATTTCAAGATACCTTTAAATTTTACTAAACCTTCCTGCTTGCAAGGTTTATTTATAATGATAGTGAGCTCTTTGAACTATTTGCATTCATCTCTCAGTAATAAATCAATGCATACATGAATCTGTCATTAAATAACTACTGAAATAGCATTGCTCCCATTTGGTGAACACACTATATTAGGGGTGTTGAAGTTAGGCGTATTATATTGGGGAAGGAAGGCAGTTCCATCGATGAAGTTGTAAGCTCCCGCTGGCTTAGACATTTACTGCGCATGCTAAATCACAGTCAACACTGATATGTGACCTTCCCTTGAAGAAAAGTTGGGTTTAGAGAAAGTTAAGAGTGATAGGACCAAGGCATGACGCTAGTTCATGAAATCTGACTTTTGGTCTTAGCCATGAAGGAAGATATTGGCTGTTTGGCTAGGGTTTTCAAGATGATAGGAACCAGTTGTTGGAGACTCCTGATGATATAGCTCGAAATCGTCACCACCGCACATGTGACAAGTTCGTCAAATTCTGTAACACTTCCGACAACCTTCGTGTATTTATTCCATCTCCATGACTTCTCTCTCTGCTACTGTGAATTGTGGCTGCTCAAATTGATGCACTTTTGATTGGTCTTTCTGCTTATTTTTCAATTCCAAATTACTGACCGAAGTCTATTTATCAATTTCTCAATGTATCCAACTAGAGTAAATTATATGGCATCAGCCATCAGAATTCAGTTGACACGAAGCCATGGAACTAAGTTTTTGTATATTCCTAATCCCGAACCTTTGTTATCTGTCACTGCAGTTAGGAACTTTACCATAAGAGTACTGTTGGATTGTGGGTCTAAACCTAGTGTTGAGAATTCGAAAATGAGTTTCTCTAGCCTTGCAGTGCTGTTTTCGGAGGAATGTCGAACGCATGAAAACATGGGTCCAGTGATCCTGTTTGTCGATGTTTATAAGCTGGAGTAATCGCCAAATTGCCCAGGAATTAAAGTTTTTGATTTTCCTTGTTGATAATTTGAGGACTGAACTGAGTATCTGTTGACATATGAAGTGCTTTTACGCATAGCTTGATATTAAGTATGAATATACTAGAGTGACTATCAATTTGATCCAGGATCCAAGTTTCCGTCTTTTGGGGATTCGAGGTCTACCAACAGAAACTCATTCATTCATGCCAGTCACCAGCTGAGGCATTTTGATCTACGAAAATAACTTAGATACCTTTTTTTAAAATATTCTTTGATTTTAATTGTTATCAAATCACTTAAGAAACTAGTTGTAATTGGGTTGATTTGAAGAAATCAGACTTTTTTCCGAATCAATCTGGATACACCACTAGTATGTTAGGCTCTATACAAGTGGAACTAAATTCCAGTACTTAGATCACACTTATCTGACGTTGAAATTTGTATGTCAGCATGTGTAATATCCAACTTCCTGTATTGTCCAGTAGTGTATCTTATGAAGGAATTTTATCATAGATTCAAATGAAGAATAATCAAGAAACCCAAGTCGAACATGAGGACAGTTACTCAACGAAGACACTGGATGTAGGTCACGCTATATCGTGAACTGACAGAACCTGGAAATATGAACCATTGGGTTTCGATGCAGTAGCTTAAAGGTAACGTGCTGGTCACGTAACCTGAATGTCCTGGGTCCGATCCCTGGAGGGCAGGTCATGGGTGCGCACTGCTGAGCAGTTTCATACTGAGACGAAACAGCTGTCTATTGCTCCCACGTTTCTAATTTTTCTTCAACCTAAGATCAACTAATAAAACTCCATAAACCTCCAGATCGAATTAAATTTTAGAAGATTGAATTGTTTTTTCAAGAAATCATTTTTGTCAGTAGTCATATTAAAAATGTTGATCATAAATTTAGTGTTTACTTTTTATGAATTATAGTTCTTGTGAATGAAGATTCCATTCAAAACCGTTTAGTAAATCTAAGTGATGTCTATGAAGAACTGAAATCGGATACTAAACGAAAATTGATCATTGTAGAATCAACTCTACCTGTAGCCCAGTGTTTAACATCTGCTGTGAACACACTTAGCTTACGTATGCCGACAGCTGAATCACGTTTGGATACCCTTCTTCAAAATGATGCTGCACAACTGTACCCAGCACAAATGCAAAAATCATTGATAGACCAGTTGGAATTTGAAATGGTCAACGCACTGGAACTACAGTATCAACAAGTTCACAACTACTGGAATCAATTAAAACAAATTTGTAAACCGATTGATTTGTTTACCAACCCTTCAGTGTTGAGAACCGCCCATCTACCTCGTCGTTCCGATGAAAAACTTGGACATGTAGAACAAATTGATAATGAATTAAAACGGTATGATGAGTTCAATCAAAAGGTTAGTAGAGGTGAAGTAGGAGGTAGACTGATCAACAGATGTTTTTTACTTATAATAAACGTTAAAACGAAGAAAGAAACTTCAAACCCCTTCAGTGTATCAAATGGATTATTTAGCCTGTTAGCTATGATGTTTTGTTGAATTAAACCAAATTCAGCTTTTAGTGTTTCACTTGTTTGATCTTGTGGACTTTTGGGTCAATATGATAAATATAATTGATTTCTTACACGTGCTTATTTGCTTCGTATAATTTTTCAACCATTTTCCTTCCTTTTCAAGTCAATGGACGAAAGGAGAGCATAAATGTTCAATAGTTTAGTTTGTTTCACCTATCAGAACAGTGAAACCGAATTACACTAGACATCTAAAAAGTAAACGGATATGTTTAGTTAATATGTAGATAAAAAAGACAGAGAGAGGATGCAACTACACCAGTGAGAAATATCTTTGATCGACAGTTATTAAAAAAAAGCTAACACTACTCCATTAGTGTATACTTCTTAGCGTAATTTGTATTGATTGTCAAAGTTTTTACAACTTTGCTTTTTGTTTTTGTCCGGCCGTCATAGACGTTTTTCCAGCCTTGAAGTTAGCATGTAAAGCTATTATATATATGTTCGCATTTCATCAGATTATCTGAGTAACCAGTTCTTATGATCGGAATTCAAATAGCCAAGCTGCGATAAATTTGGTTGGAAAATGATGATTACATCTGAAAGAAAATCCGAGTATTAACTTGGTCAGCTATAATTTTGTTGTTGACACTTTTCATGCCAACGCATAACACATCATGTTACTAGGTGAAACAGAAGTACGTTTACTGAATTTCCGACAGTTGTATTACAGCATCAAATTCACGATGGCATCTATTTATGTTGCTAAGATTAGATGGAAAGTTGGTAAGTTTGTTAGTCAGTTACTAAGGTGGCTAGAAAGTATTATGCATGTACTTTAATACTTTTAAATGCCTTCTCGATTAACTTTGTAAAAATATTCCATCCTTATCTTTTAACTTCGATACTAGTTTCCCTCATTTACTCAAGCCGGTAATGGGTATTCAGATAAGTAGAAGTTAACTATGTACACTGAGTTTCCGAACTGTTTTATCCTACACAAATCTATGGCTACATCGACTGATTTTGTGCTACTACTTAGAAATCCAGAATTAACTTCATAATTGCTCATTAAATGGTTGTCCTTTAATATATATGCACAATTCATTTAAAGGTTTGGAAAGAGAAGAATAACCGATTACAGTGTAGTTTTGATCACGGACTGACATCAGTACTAAAAGCCTGAGCGCATCAGACAGCTTTAGCCTAGATTAGGGCTGCTCAACAGTGTTCAAGCAACCTCGTGAGGAATCGAACCCAGGGTCGTCAGGTCTCATAGTGATCATATTAACAACAAGTCACTGGGTTGGAATCTAATGATCCACGTCTTTCAGCTTCTGTCGATTCACCATAAGCGTAGGCATCACACAATTTTGTCGGTGAACGTTCATTCTCGCTCTCGGCTTGGTTGACTCTGAAGGTCAAGTCCTGGAGAAATCTATCTCGAGGAAAGCCACAATGAGCACTAGTTTATAACTCATTTGAGGGTTTGTGGGGATGGGTTGATCACATTGATTGGTCACGGGAGAGCAAACAACTCATGCTGTCTAGTTCTGAGTGCTAACTGAATTCTACCGATCACTTTTGCAACGTGACCATCAAGCTAGGCGGCTCATCCTCACAGTTCGCATTGATAGATGTTAGTTGGTTGGAGGTAATCGGCAGGAAGTAGTTTCCATAACATATCGATATCATCTAGAGAAGCATTAAAAACGTAGTAACTTATCGTCCCAAGCCTGGTTCCTAACACAGTCATGAATGTGCGCTGCTGGGGTCTTAAACTACGACAGATCAGCTGTCCAGTGCTCCTAGTTTATCAATACCTCTCCAACGGCTGCCGATGCGTGGTCAGTGCTGCTTTAAAATGCATATGGTTATTGATTTTACTTTCTCTCTTGTTGATCATGCACACCGTGGAATAGTTTTTTTTCATCAGGATTTTTACTTCATTTAACTTATTTGCTTTCAGCTAACTGATTTAGCCAAGGCCGTTGGAAGTAATCGTCAAAAAGCAATACAATTAATGGATAAATTAGAGCCGATATCTGAATGGTTAGATTTAGCACTGAAACGCTGGGATCCGAAAATATCTGATACGCCTTCGTTGGATTGGGATACTTACCTAGATGAAAGTAGCTTCATGACTGATGAACCACCAGAACAGATGCCAACATTGAATTCTCTTGGTACAGAATATCCGTATTTAGCTATTTTACCATGTCAACCTGAGATGCTTGACAAACTTCATAAAAGGATGGAAGAATTTCAAGAAAAGTGGAAAAAGCGTCAAAGCGAACTCAACAAACTGTTTGATCAAATCTATGATGTCATACAATCGTCAACAGGTCCAGCTAGTCATGCAATAATAACAAGTGGGACCACTGTTATGTCTTCTTCCGCTGCTGCTTCCCTCAATGACTCACCAACCAGTAAACCAAACAAGTCTTTTATTCCATTTACAACAGATAAATTTTACCATGAATTAGGTGATCTTGTGTCAAGTGTTTCAAAGCAAGTAATTTCACTTGATAATCGTTTAAGTCAAACAGAAATTCGATATGCTGAAGTTTACCCACTGGCCAAATATTTTACAAAGGATATGAATGAATTTCAACAGTGGTTTCAACAGATTGAAATAAAATATGAAAATGTTAGCAGCTTGCCACATCCTGATGATGCTGGTGATGAATTGGGTGGTAATCGAAAACGATTAGAAATGATTAAGGTAAGATTATATGCAGTTATCATTTTTATTTGGTTTCCGGTCGTCTTAAGTTTTTGGATTCTAGACACTATAACAATAAAGGCTGAAATCCTATGCTTTGAAAAGGTAACCTCCACTGGCCTGACAGTTCTTAATTCAAACAGAAGTGATTGATCCACTTACTCCAAGTGTTTGCAGTAACCCTAAGGTGATTCGTTGGTGAAATTATTAACTACAGTAGCACTCAGAATCTCCCACTGTCACCACTGAAGTATATTAGAACCCTAAGACCTCCAGATGTAAATGGTTTGATTGTTCTTTTTGAACCTCTCGAGACTTTATTGCAGGAGTAAGAAGTATTTGGAAAATATAAAGTATGGAGAACCAATATTACGGAAAAATATTGAAATCCAATATTTTCGTATAGAATATTTTTTTCAGTGACAACTTTTAACACCAACAAACTAAAATGGGCTCTTCTTTCTTCGTGAGACGAAACTGCTGCATTTTCTATCTTTCAAGTGAATTTACATGCAACATATTTTTGTGCTATCGAGCAAGTGACACTGAAAAGTGTGGTAATGAAAACTTCATCAATTAGTTTGAAATGTGCACCAAAAATGAAATAACCAATCTGAGCTGTAGGCTTTTTCATCCCTTCCTGATTACCACTACCTAGTTGTAGTGATGCGAAATTGAGTAACTTGGATCAATATACACTTAAGTCGGCTTTTATACTGATAAAATCTATCTGCCTGTCACAACCTCAAGATTGAAAGATCACTTAATGTATGCATGCTAACATACTTGTCTACTTATTTTTTTCACTCTATTCTCTTTCTGACTCAATATCTTTTATGAAATAATTTTAATTCCTACGTTCTAATTAGTACAATCACATTCCATTCGTATGCAGCAATTGGTTTTAGTAATTGAAAACATACATTACTTTTCAGTGTATTGTTATCAGAAGATTCATTAGTTGCGTCATTTTCACTTGATAAGTTTTCTTTATATTCAATGACCACTGCTGTAAATTCCATCTAATGAAGGAATAAGGTATAGTTCCCAACGTAAGTGTTGATCTTTGTACTGTACTAGGCTAAGCATGATCACCAGCCTTATTCAAATATCTGGTGCCAGTATACCTTTAAAATTTTTCTAGGCTTTGAATGACTGGAAGTATTAGACAAAAACCCATTTCCCTTCTTCATTTCTGCCGCATTGCATAATTGTATTTCCGAGATTTCAAACTGCACCATTAAATTTTACAGTCAATGGTATCGTTGTAGAACGTGAATACAACAAGAGATCAACCACCCACAAATATATTAAACGTATTAATTCATCACAGAAATACATTCTTTTTTTGACCCTGAGTTCCAGCTTAAGGTGAGCTAATATCATGTTCACTTGTGAGCTTTATCAACTTAAGAGGAAACAGATTTCTGGTGTTTTATGGGGTCTTTAAAGGATATTAACTTTTGATCAAAGCACTTCCATAGTTTTCTTTAGTTATCACATTAAAAGATACAAATGATTCTGATCTAACACCCATACTTCTGAATGAATATTTCATGTAGATAGTTGTATAAAATTTACAGCCTCCATTCTTTACTTTTTGGTTTCTCTCTCCTTTTGATTTACATTGATAATTATTTTAATTCTACAGTCTAAATTAATTCTGAATATTGAGTTAGAACTGTCCTGAAACAGCTCATCTACAAAACATGCCTTCCATTTAAAGTTTAGCAATGCCGAGTGATCATCCACACCGAAATACCTGAAAATTAGATTCAGACTCATAATCCTAATAATAAAGAAATGAATGTCTAAACCGATTGAATATAACTTCTTAAAATATATGTGTATATATATTCTGTTTTATAGAGTTTAGATGAGGAGGTCGACCGTCAAAAGTCGGTACTGGATAGAATCATAAGAACAAGTGGACCTTTACTATCCTTGATTGCTCCAACTGAAGCTACTGCTGTACGTTCACAGATTAAACAAATTTGTGATTCATATGGTAATTTACGTAAATTGATTAAGAGTCGAGTGATCAATGCAGAGAGTGGCTTAAAACAGTCGGATGAAGTAAGTTTATTCATTTTTTGGAAATATTATATGTGTTCAATCTGCTTATTTGAACAGTGGGGTTTTAACCAATTTGAAAATCTATTACGCCATAATTGTTGTTTACCTATTTCTTATATACTCACTTATATATTAAAGCTATTTGAGACAACCTTTGTTAATGGAGTAGTTTATTTTTGTGGACTTGATGTTTGAAAGGGAAAAGGGACCTGGATTATTAAAGTATTAGAACCAATAGCCTAAAACTTACTGACATCATATTATGAAATTATGAGACCTAACTTTTAGTTAGATCTTAGTTTTATTTCACCTACAAAATATATCAAGTCGCTGCATTAATAAGAAATACACAGTAGTTTTAAAATGATTGGAATTGACTTCAACAACTGAAAATCTTTTATGAATCCATTCATACATATCATGACCTATCTTCCAGCTTCATGTATGCGATCATTGAATTACTGAGACAGATCACGATTTCAGCCTTGATTATATTTGTATTTACATATTCCAACGGTTTTATTCAACTTTCGGTATTTATTGTTCAGTTTGTGGAACAGTTACATTCAATGACAGATCTATTCGCTGCTATATCAGAACAAGCTATTCGCTTAGGTGTTCCACTAGAAATAACTGGTACAACTGTTAGACCGTCCATATTGCCTAACTTCCATAATGAGACTCCAGAACAATTACTTGACCAACATCAAGCTTTAGATATGCTGGGTAGGATACACTCAATGACAAGTGTTCAACCAGATCATTTAGAAGAACATATTAGTGGAACGTCAGCCCTAATGGAGGCATTAGAATCTCGTCTACCTGAATTGGAAGCGCTTACTGTAAATATTCGAGCTCAGTTAGAAGCCAAACCCTGTGTCAAGGAATCAACCACAAAGCGTGAATCAGGAACAGTTGAATTAATTGAATCGGTCGACATCGAAGCAGGTAAATATATTCCTACTTGAATAATTAATTGTAAAAACATATGCTTTATGTTTTATTTCACTCTTGTAAACACATTTTGACATTCATTGGGCAAAGTAAATGCAGTTTCTTTTGCTTTATAATACTAACATTATTCAAGCTGGTTTCCACTTTGTCTTCTCAACAATTAAGTCAATCAGTATTTTTTTGGTGGCAAGTATGTAATAAAGGTTCACTGCCTTATGGTCAAGGAAGATAATCTAAAAAATTATTTTTGCACTCAGTATGAACTTATGCAACACTTTATAAATAATAGCTATTCACTATTTACAAGAAAACCATTGAGAGGAAAATAAGAGATGACTTGTAATAAGGAGTAACAGAATATTCAAGATTCGAAAGAAGGTTAACAATGGATTCGTCTTTTATTATCTACCCATACTACTGGTAATAGGACTTTCACACATCTCTCAATAGTTACGATCCAAAAAGCTTTTTTTAAGCACAGAAAAACAGTTTTTTATCAAAAGAAAAAACTTTATCAAGTTTTATATAAATCCCTTTTACCAGTTTATCGCTTGAATCACATTTATCAAGCATGTGTGTACACAACGTGAGTATATCCTATATGGTTCGTGATTTCTGTTTTCACCTATTTGTATCCCTTTCTATTTTCCAGACCAACTATATGCTTTACAGTATTCTAGTAAGCTTTATGTTGCATGCTTACTTCAGTAAAAAATTGTCGTTTCTACTGGAATGATTGGAAGATGTTTTTGAGTTTATATGTGTATAGTTGAATGGAGTTAGTGTAATAAAATGTTACATATATTGAATGCATGCTTAACTGGGTAGTAGTTTTATTTAACTAATCATTTGTTCTCTTGAATTTTTATGCAATAACTAAAGAAAGAAGTAGGTGAAAGAGGTTCAAACTCCATTCCACATGCTTCGGCCTGCCAGCTGGGTAATATAAAAGCCTTCGCATATTAAGTCTGACTCAGAGTGTGTCTAACGCCAACCGTAGCAACGATTGAAACAACCAATTTAGTTGTTTTATTTTGATTGGATTTTTATTTTTTAAGGAACGAAGAAAAGTAATCAGTCATTTATTTAGTTGTTTGGATGGCCTTCAGTATCACTAGAGGCTCATAGTTCAGTACAAATTCACGTAGTGGTCAGTTATAAGTGATTTGAGAAATAATTTAAATAAAATTAACGCATCTTTAAGCATTATTGCATCAGGTTGCAGCTGGAATGATCCATGTACTCGACGTGACCCACTTGATCCAAACAGCTACAAAGAACAATACAATGAGTTAAGTGAATTAAGAAAAGAACTGAATGATGTCAATCATTGCATTATTATTATTTGCTTAGAAGAAGAAAATGCATGATATCTGTGTACATGATGATAGTGTAGGTCAAAATATGCTTATTTCATTGAATCCTATGAAAATGAGAAATCACAAACAAATTCAAAGTGGAATTATTATCTCGAGCATGGTTTACATTGTTAATTCAGGAATGTATGTTGTCAGTGGCCACAATACATAGCTGAATTTCACTCGAAATTGTTCTGGCTTTCAGCAACTCAGTAAATCATTCAGCCTTAGAGTGTCTGATCATCTAGTAACAGCTATTTGGTCTTTCACGCAATTGTATCCAAAACAGATTGATTCCACCACTTAAAAAGCACTACTTACTAGTATTAGTTGCCTCACTACATCTTTTTCTTTCGTACAGTCTATGGATTAACCACTTTGTCTTTGCTCCTGTGATTTTGCCATATATTTTAGTCGTTTGTTGTTCGCCAAACTAGAGTTTTTCTGGGCAGAAATTGAAATTTTAGCCTAGTCGTCGTCTTCATTGTTACTTCCGCTTAAAGTAAAATAGAACTACGAGAACATTGATGACTGGAGTTGCACATATTCATCAAAATATCTGTTTTACACACTTCAGGTGCAACCGTAGTATTAATTTGAAACTTTTATTGAAGTATGCTTCCATGTAATTTTGTAGCTTTAATCCGAAAGGGATTTTTTGAATATCATTTGTAGACCGATTTATGACAGTTATCGTGTTTATTTTTCATCGTTGATTCGTATTATTTGTTATATGTGAATTATAGACACCTTCTAAATGTCTCGTTTTCTCGTCTTGTTTCACTAATGCACCGATAACCTTGAACATAACTAAAAAATTTAAACATATAGGATAGCTGGTTTTTAACTATATACAATTCAGTTATTGACTATGTAGGAACTCTCCATAGACTGATGGTGAATAGTTCTAATGAGATTTTCGTTTTCTTTTTCGACTTCGTGTTCTACTTTTGTTCTAACATGTTTTTGATTAAATGTTGTTATTCGTTGTAGGAATGCACTTTTATTTGTGTTTATGCATGTGTTCCTCATAATTAGTTTTGCTGTGTTAAAGTACGAATAATTTTTTTTGCATTTTAAGTATCTGTTCCCCTTGATAAACGTTTACGAAGTAGGAACAGTAAAGTTTTTTTGGGCAAATTGAATTCATTTCATATTTCTAGTACGCAAAATCTTCAATAACTACAATGAAAATAGTAGGAACAATCTTAAAAGTGTATTTTGCTCCAGAATCATGTGTGAAATAGTTAGGTTCAACCATAGAAATCAATGAAGACTTTTCACAATTATACAATCTATGCACATCATAATTGAAATTGAAATAAAACCTGAGTTTTTAGGTGGATTTGAACTAGTAGCCTTCGTGTTCAAACCCTTCGGTGACCAAGATTATCTTTCAACATCAATCATTTAACAGATGCATTGAAATCGGTCTACAGTCAAGCCTGTTTCAGATCGTTAAATTGGTATTGATACAATTTTAATTTACATGAACGGGAGAAAATTTATGATGTGATCAGTTTTTAAGATCACTTGCAAATACTGAAGTCACTTAGTAAACACTACAAAAATACGGAAAAGAGTCACAACAACGCTACTAGTTTTATTTATGAGCCAAAGAAGAAGATACTTGGTGAAGTTAATCGAAGTGTAGCAGAAGTAGCAGTGCTAAGAATGGGTCCATAAGTTAGTGATCACTATTTATGAAGGTAATGGGTTCGAACGGGAAAGTTCATAACCATAACGTCGAATGACCAAAGGAATCAGTACTAGATGCACTTGAATTGTTTTCAAAATGAGAAAAGAGTAGTACTTCTAAACAGTGTAAATATTTGTAGATGTTTTGTTCCGGAGTTATACGAAAGGTTAGGTTTAAGTCCACTGAATGACGTGAAAAATATTCATATCAAGTACTGTTACGCAGTCTTTAATTATATAGCTAGTGCATATCGCAGGTTGCAATTACAAGACTCATAGAACATACAAAATTAAAGAGGAATTTTCGCTTCATAATGCGATAACGTTTGTTGTGTTTCTTTAACTTACGTTATACATTGATCTGTCTAATTGTCTGTTCTTTTTTCTTTTACAACCCACACTTTTCAGTTTTGAAAAGCGCTGAAAAACTACAGACAGACTGGATACATTTACAAAATAAATTAACTTCACGTGTTAACACATTACAGTCAGCCTACAGAACATCATCAGAGCAATTTTGGCCAGTTATAAGTGATTTGAGAAATAATTTAGATAAAATTAACGCATCTTTAAGCATTATTGCATCAGGTTGCAGCTGGAATGATCCATGTACTCGACGTGACCCACTTGATCCAAACAGCTACAAAGAACAATACAATGAGTTAAGTGAATTAAGAAAAGAACTGAATGATGTCAGTCAGCAACTGAATAATTCACATGAAGCTGGACAACGCTTGATTTGTTTAATTAATGGTCAAGTTGAAGATGATTCGGTAACACCAACAACAGGCAGTTTTAGTTTAAGACGAGATGAAGAGCAAGCTATACGCAATGAAGTAGATTATGCTCTACATGGCTTAAAAGTACAACAAGAACATCTGATTAATAAATGTGAACGTTTAACTAAAGAACTCAATGAACGTGAATTGTGCGCCTCACGATTTAAGGTTAGTTTACTAAAATGGTGTTTTTTTTTATCTGGATTTCATTTAAATATCTAACATTTCAGTTGCTAAAATAGGTCGTAAACTTTTATTGTTGTTAGCATAGATAGGGACTGGCGAACTTGTATTATCTCTATGACAGTTGTCTGTCATGATTCAGTTACTTTCCAAATATATTCACTGGAAAAGTTGGCATCAGTTTTTCTTCCACTTGGTTGTCGTTTTCGCCTATCTGATTAAAAGAAGAGCTATCTGACTTAGAGGCGATTTGCCGGTGATTTATCAAATTCTCTGGATGACTTGGACAACGGGCAAATTAATATATTTTTTCTTCATTTCAATCATTTTCATATGCAGGATGCAAGTCCAAGGTTATGTGTTTTATCGTATAGCGAGACAGAAGGAAGGTTGAAATGGATTACACAAGTTTCATAGTGATGGTTGAGGACAAACTATCACAATCGAGGCCATCTGCTTCCTAGATATTTTTAATTACGTCGGTTTTATTTCCCAGCATAGATTGAATTTTAAAACGTCATATATCATACACTGACTGGAGTACAAAAATACTGACAAATTTAACGTAGCACACGAAATCTACTAGCTACAGTTGCCTTGTAGTCTTGTTTATAAGCGTAAAATAGTAATGAAGTATCACAGAAAATCTCAGAGAATAGCGCGTTATCGGATTGAATGTATTCCTCTGCTCGTTTAAACTACTCAGTCAGTGTGTTCTTGTCGGATCAAAGAGCAAACTAGTTTGAATTAACAACTACAATAGACCCTTTTACACCACCAACTAACAGAAATACTGATAATCTCAGCATCTTTAACAATTTATTGATCCACTAAAGGAAGAATAACGAACTTAGAATTAGATATCAAAAAATTCGTCTTACAAGCTTCCGTGTAAATAGCACCATTCAGAAATTCCCCGACTAAGGTTCACCTTTTTCAGCAGTATTAAGGTTGATAAACCGGCAAGAATTGTTGTTTCCAACACCTAATTGCAGTTTATTAACCTAATGAAGATGATTTTCACTTAGTTGAGTCTTGATTAACCCATTAATGAAGTCTATTTTAAGCTCCTATTATGTGTTGCTTGAATGTCTGAAGAAGAGTCAACTCGGTAGATATTCCAAATAATCCTTGCTTATGAGAGGCTTACGAGCATTATGATGATGTTCAGAGCTTCCTAGTGATTCCAAAAATGCATTCAAAAAAGCAAGTATATGACTTCTGGTATACGTATATATTACTGTGTTGACTTCACACAGTAACATAACATCATATTATCTTAACACTGGTTTGATGAATCCTCTGTATTTTTTTTACAGTCTGATTTAGAAGATCTACTAAAATGGTTATCAGAACAAGAAAATATGTGGGATAATTTTGCACCTATATCAAACAGTGTTGACGTTGTAACAAGACAACTGAATGAGATTGTTAGATGGAATGATAATTTAATGAATAAACACTCTGAAATAGAAGCATTAAACTGGTCAGCCGGGAAATTAATGTCGAATTCAGATAACGAACGTTTTACGCTGGATGATGCAAGTAAGAGAAAAGGATTAAATTTATTAGTCTGTGTTGAATGATGCTATATTTATTCATTGTTATCTGTTTATCATCGTTTAAGAAGTAGGTGATCGTGAAGTCACCATAATTTCTAAAATCTTAAGTTCCTTGCTGATATGATTCTACAAACTAAAAAGCAGTTTAGTCACTTGACTAAGTGAAACCGTAGTATTATGCTCTTCTTCCGATACTGCATGGTTTAAAAGACAAGTGATATACGTTAAAGCAAGTCCACAATATCATGGCAATCTCCACTTACTTGTAGATTGATACCTACATCCTTCAAAATATTCTCTTTTTTCCTACCAGAATTTTTTTGAACAATAAATTTGTTTGACTACAGAGACAACTATCTGTATTACCATTAAAATTTTATTTTTCAGATGACGATACCTCATTCCCAGTTCAACATAATTCATCATTACAGTCTGATTTGACTACAGCTAATCGACGATGGGATAATTTACTAGACTCAGGAAATAGCAGGCGTCATCGCCTACAGACTGTTCTTCTTGGTTTAGGTGAATTTGAAGGTGCTGTGAATGGATTAGTTAAATGGATTAATCAAATGCAAACAACTGTTGATCAAATACCTGTACGTCGTGGAAATATTCGAGCATTAGAAGCTGATTTAGCGCGTATCAAAGTTAGTCAAATTTATTATACTGAACATTACTAATGATTGTACATCCCACTCACTAGTCCCTATAATCCTCTATTATTTATCTTTTGTGTTTCAGGTGTTTAAATAGACTCTAGGATGTTGAAAAGCGTGACAAATCGTAGGAAAAGCTGTATGCTCAGACAACCCGGTTAGGGAATACCGACTGGTCAGAATTTCTTCTGAACCTGCTGATTAACACTGAACTTCTTTAGCGTAAATGCCTCTCTGTTATGTACCTATATTTCACCTTACGTAACTAATTTGAAATGGATATACTCTATATCTCAGCATGCATAATTGTATGTATGTATGTTCAGTCACTGGAGAGTACCCAATTTCATGTTGTCTAGTCCTAAGTATTAGCCAAATTCTATCTTTTTTTATTGTGGTTACCAAGCTAGGAGACTCAGAATCGGTTAGACACCATGAATATCAAGCAGCATGTTTCATCATCCATCTTCAAGTTATTTAAAAACCAAACTAGCCGTCGATAGTGAGATGAAGCGTTGAATTTGTTTCTCCTACCGATTCTACACGTGGTTACTTCTGGCGTATGGTCGGAAAGAAGTGAAATGTTGAGAATAATCAGGTTTCTATGACAAGGTGAATTGTTAGATTGGAGTGGTATTTAGTGCTTGATATTTTTTTCAAATCATCCTGATTATTTTCGACCGGGAGTGTTACACTTTAACCTGTTATAAATTCACCAGTCAGGTTAGCTATGTGAAACATATTATTATTTCTAAGTTTGAAATCTTTCGACTCCAGATTTTTTGGTATTTAGCATACATACGCAGTAAATAAATTATCTGTTAGATTTTCCTGTTACTCTGACTGTTATGTACGTCATAGTAAAGTTTGTGATGCGATGTGTTTCAACAGAACGCAAGTCTTCATTTCAAGCGTGACTCCCTAAAGAAGAATAGGTGGGAGGATAATTTAAGAATTTTCTGCAACATCCGCCACCAGCAGTCTGACCTCATAGTATACACCCATCAGAAAACATATGCTAATATTAACGAGTACTTTTACATTCTTGTTTGTAACTGGTTGATTACTAAATGGCGACCTGAGGGCTGATTGAAGCCTGTCATTCAAACATTACATCTATTAAGGTAATACAATGGTGGCGTTCTACGTTTGGTGTTAGGTGCTCGGAGCTATTAGCAGGAAACCCCCAGGGTTTGACGTTGAATAAAAAATGATACACTTTTAAAGTAAAAAATGATTACGAACAACAAACCAAGATCCAGCACTTTGTGCACAATTGTGCTAACGTCTAAAATCATAATAATCATATATTAGAGTTCAAACTATAATTAAGAAACATTTTTAAGTATCTATTATTTGAATTTCTCTTGATATTGTATTTTTAAATAACTAATCACCTACCTAATATATGAATAATTTGTTTTCTTATTTTCCTTTCTTATTTTCACTATCCAATCTCTGTGTAATCTTGTTATGCTTTTTCGTTGAATGTACTCTAATTTAATCTGTGTGGTATGCTGTCTGTATTTGTTTTATTCATGTATGTGTATGTACGTCTATCTGTTCTTGTGTTTCATCGGGTTGCGGTTATTAAACTTTTGTTGCTCTTTGTCACATTCCATTCCACTCACTCAACCTGGAACACAGTTATTTGTCAAACTGATTACGCGTTATCAGTACAATGTAATGGTTCTCAATCGTTTTAATAGTGAAAGTGGAGAAAAAGAAGTAATGTATTTTCTTATCGCCTTAATTATTTACTAACCGTCAACTCTTCATGTTTCGTGTAGTACTAATGTCAACTTTAAAATGCCATATGTGTTTGCTTCTCTTAACTAGAGGGTAGAGGAGAATTGCATAAGGGACTCATAGCGAGTTGGTACTGCCGATTCTCCTTAACCAACTTCTTGGAAATAACTTTTGATTTCATGATTTAACCTGTAGTCATAAAGACAGTTATCGAAAAGCTGTTCAGTTTACCAGTGAAGTTCGTTAAGGGTTATTTCCTAATAAAGTATGCATTACTTGTAAGGTTTGGGCAACTAGGTAGGGTCCTCACACAACAGCCGTCGCCCATTACCTACTGAACGAATGTGCCCAACGTCGCTGAATATGTTTCGCTTTTTTATGCACTACTCATAAGTTGACAGTTTGAATGGAATTTTATGTAAAATGATTATGATGTTTGTGGTGTAACTATTAGTTGGTTTTTATTTTATTTTGATAGTTGAAAAAAATGTGTACAAATCTCTATCCTGTATGGCAAATGATTATTTTAACTGGGCAGGTTTGGACGCCGATGCATGACGATATATCCTTCGATAAAACCCTAGAAAACTGATAAATGTTAAAAGGCAAAATTTTTGAGCTTACAGCAACTGCTGTTCATACCTACTCAATGGTGATTATGCCGAATATTTATCAATATAAATGTTTTGTGGACTAACTACATACCTAACAATATCAAGAGAAATTTCGTCCATTGATATAAACTGTCTTAAATCTGAATAAGGTGCCTAAATGTTCACTGGCAATACATAATCATAATTTCTTGAAACATGTATACTTTATTTCGTATGATCAGGGCATGCAAATAAAATTTGCACTACAAAACACTATTGTAAGGCTGTGTTTTCCTCATAAAATCATTTGCTTATAGCCTTAAAACAGTTGTTTTCCCAACAAATTATCTATGTAGTATATGATTTCAGTAGTTGACATGAAGAGTTTATTTTTCAGATCAAATTACTGCACTTATTTGATGAATAGAATACCATCAAATCATCATTGTTACGTATGTGTATATTTGTGAATGCGTCTAGCTCCAATGTAAACATAATTCCTGCTGAAGAAATTCCCTCGAAGAGAACAACATTTATTATACCACCAAGTGATGTAAACAATTAATGTCGTTTGTCGAAAAAGATGGGAAGATATGAAGAACATAGAAATAGACATAGTAGTGTAGCAATTCAAGCTTTTACACTTCACATCGTCACATGAAAATGACAATAATAGAAACCATCAAATATATCTTCAATACTACGATCAAGCCATTGCACCTGGAGTTAAGATCTTCTTTGGTTGTCAATAGACCTCACTTATGAAGTCCGTAGTTCTGTAGACGAGTTTGTGTCATCTTGGTTTAGCTAGTTTAATCAGCTTTTTAAAATGTCATTGAGCAAAACGTTCCGCCAGGTAGGATATCAGGATTTGAAACACTAGGTTTCCATTTAGCTCGTGAAGCTAATCATTGAGACTAACCAGTGACTTAAGGGAAACCCATGCTTCCTCTGAGATTTTAATGTGTCGTCCACCGTTGTATTTAACCATGCTACAGCCTAACCATTATTCGAACCAAAAATGGAATCAGCCTAGCTGGGTGAAGGTTTTACCTAAATTATTTGTCATCTGTTCATACATTTGGTGATGCAATTATCTGTTAGATATCAGATGGTTAATTTTTGTTTTACGTGTTTCCTTGTAAATCTTTTCCTTCCTCATAAGGTCATTCATCACAATGTCAACAGTCATCAGTTAGCTGTTGTAAGAATACAAGAACAAGCAAGAAAAGTAGAATATAATGATTATAAGCAAAGAGATAAATCGCCTGCAAATGATACCAACAAAGATGGTAGAATGAAAGCGCAAATTTCGGAAGCCAAAACAGCTGATATACGTAATAAAAATCATTCAAATGAATAAAGCATGGGAATATTTGAAGGCAAGTGTGCGCAATAAACAAGCTGCACTAGAGGAAGCATTGAGTGAGGTATGATATTCATACATAAACTGATATTCTTTTAAAAACAATAGTTCTTTGAAGCATCATATATATATATATATATATATATATATATATATATATATATATAAAATAAAGTAATTTTTTGAACATCAATTACTTTTATAATAGACTATTGGATTTATAATAATGTTTTTGACAAGTTATTAATGAGATAGGAGTTTATGCTGTGTTAAACAAACGCCTTCATATTTCTTCGTATTTATCTGACAATCATTAAATGCCAGAAACTTGAACTGTTCGATGACTTTCAGAAATGATCTTTCTTGTTTTGCTTCATCGCTGTTCATATATTATTTTATACGGTTTTAAACCATAAAACTTATTATTAAATATACTTTTGACCCCTCATGTATCAACGGATAGTTTGTAAAAACATTGTTGATAGGATACTCCCAAGATACTTCTGTCTCAGTTTATCCTAAATATCCTGTTTCACCAATCTATTATACATTGTCTTTTTGGTTTAATGTAAGATGTACTAAGAAAAGTAATACTCTAGCGGTCTGCCTACATCTGAGTAGATAATGAATTTGAGTTTATAACTACATAAGTCGATTGTAAACAATCGTATCACCTGTGGAGAGAGGGTATGTAAGATCAAACTAAATCACCTTCTTCTTCACATTTAAGTGATTTACTCAACTGAGAATCAGTGGTGAACAAAGTCTGTGAAATTGGCAGTCATTAGTACCAGCTGTGATATAAATTCGAAGATGCTCGTAAGAGATAAATCAGTGGTTAGAAGTGTTCAGTGATATAATTTTGAATACTCCATCTCCTTGTAGTTATCTGAGTTTTTTTTTAAATCCTTCTGATTTCCTCTTTTCCTTGGCTACTAACTCATCAAACTTGTATTCATAATTCATTTCTATTGCACATATTATTTGAAATGTGATAAGAGTTGACTTATGAATTGGTTTTGAAGTCAGTATACTCAATTCACACACTGTCATGAGACACAAATCAACCTACTTAACGTACATAAAACTCTTTCTTAGTCATTAAATGTCGGGAATCAATTGCTTGGAAGACTTGTCTGACTTCATTTACGTACTTGCCACTACTTGTTGACAAAGTGTATCTCCAACTTTTAGGATAGTTTATATTCTCCTGGAGATTGGAACCCTTATCACCGACTGTTTACGTCAGAGACTTCGTGGTTCAGCTGTTCATACAGTGACAATTCCCGCTCATATACTTTTGGTTTATGTCAGTAAATCATAAAAAAATGCTATGACAATGTTGTCCTTCATCCTCATCGCTTCTATTCAGAAGGGTATTTTCATCTCATTTCCCTTTATAATTCTAAATCTCTTTTTTTCTGTAGACCTTTAATTTTCATGATCAACTGGATAAACTTATACGCCGTACTCGTCAGTTAAAGAATCGGATGCCACCACCAGGTGCACGGATGATGGGTGGTTTGCCTGACAGTGCACGTGATCAACTCCGTCGATTTATGGAAGTTTACGATGAACTAGTCCAAGTTGGAACAGAGGTAAGCATTTATTTGATTGAGTTAATTACGATATGACTTTATTCTTAATGTATGGTAGTTAGGAAATCTTATATATAACATGTTTAGACTCCTCATTTCATTTTTAATATTTATTTACTAAATAGCTTGATGAATTGCGTCGGAATTCAGCTGCCCTACTAGTAAATCAATCTACAATAGAATCAGCTGACCAGTTAACTACGAATCTGGACCGTTTCTCTGATCATCATACACAACTATTACAGCAGGCTCAAAGTATTCGTGAGCGCATGGAATTAGGCTTGAAACAAGTGGAAGAGTTTCATGATCACTTATCTCAAATGATGCAGTGGTTAACACAAATGGAACGTGCTATTATCCAACAGAAACCAGTTAGCCGAATTGTAGCTCGCCTATTTCAGCTAATCCGTGACCATACTGAATTGCGTAAAGAAATCACTGGACATCGTGATGCTTTAATCAACTTGGATCGGCTAGGCAGTCAAATTCAATGTCAAGCGCAAAAACAAGATGTTATCTTAGTGAAAAATCTTTTGTCTAGCATTCATACTAGGTGGGAACAACTGGTTTCTCGTAGTGCAGAACGTACACGTCAACTAAATACTGGTCTCAAGGTTAGTTTTGTTTTTCTTGAATATGCATACATACCTTTGAAATATGTTTTGCTTTCTAAAAATCTTATTTATTATATCAGAGAGTCTATAGCAAGGCCTCCTGGTTGATTACTAATACAATGGTTAGTAATGTGAACATTTCTTGTCCATAGATTATTCCCTTAAGTTAGCTGTATTGAGTTTTCACCCACTTGAATAAGATTAGCCCACGTATTTTTACATCGTTGGATGGTTACTATTGCAGTGTGCGGTATGTTCCACATAAGTTTACCTTACAGACTTTTACGCTATCAATTTCCCTTCATTTTGTCTCAGGTTATCTCAGCTGGATAGCTCAGTTGTTGAGCTTTTACTTCCATTCTAGACAACATCTTCAGCACAAATATCCGAAGGAGATGAGTCATGAACATGTACTCATACGTGGCTCACCAACTGTTAGCTGCTGTTTCATTATTTTTTTTTCATATATGCTTCAGTTAGTTGTTCTTCTGACCTGAGCTGTGACCTTGTTGGTGTTTCTTGTGTTTCGTATTGGTTTACAGAATGGATCAATGCCAATATGCCCACTGATGGCTGACTAACCTGAAAACCAAGCTTCTGAAAGTCCCCTGTTGTTCTTTAAATAATCTTTGTTCACAAGTGATTTTGTGTGTTGTTTGATTATTGCTACTGTAGTTGAAAATTTAATCAGTGTGAATTGGTTTCCTTTACCCTTGGACTTCTAATTTCTGTGGATCGATTTTGGGGATCATAACATCTAAAAGTTCGGGTTCGTTGTTTACTTCTTCAGTTGTGAGTTCAACGTAACCAGAAACGCTATGGATTAATGTGTAAACGTTTTCCAATTTATTTATTTCAAAGATAATGAAGCATCATCTACATATAGAATCCTTTAATTGTAGTACCTACTTCCTTTAATATGATGAATGTGATTACACTGAACACACTGAAGACTAATTACTCCTGTAAATGCATTAAAGCAACATTCTGACCAGCACATTTACATTGTTTGAGTTATCATAATAAACTGAGTAAAAGAAATCCATTGTCGAGTGATAAATACTATCATTCTGTCATATTCGACATTGCTGAAAGTTCACTAGTACAAGGAAAAGCATAACTTTGCTTAGGTTTCCAGGTCTGTCTTGTTGAGGGTAAGTGTCGGCAAATACTAAATCTATTTAGTATTTGCCGACACTTACCCTCAACAAGACAGACCTGGAAACCTAAGCAAAGTATGCTTTTCCTTGTACTAGTGAACTTTCAGCAATGTCGAATATGACAGAATGATACTGCTGGACCTTCCATGCGAAAATAGATGGCAAAAGTCGTACTTCCCATATCTTTTGAAAAATAAAAATGATTGCAGAGCTTCGCTTCAGTACACTGATTTTCATTGAATATTTATACCATAAATTTTTCTGCAATCGCTATCTCTTCAAATACTAACTTTTCTGAGAGTTTATTTGCAGATACTCTTTGAGTTCGTTGGATTCAAATTTGGAACACAATCACTTTTGTTAAACGTGATGTGAAACTAAATGTCTTACAAATTAACCGACTACTCACAAGTAGACTAATACAATAGATCAAAATGTTTTCTTTTGGTTCTTATTTGAAGTGAACTTGAAGCCATTTACTTTTCCAATTAAAAACCATTTTGTTTTTATTTGCCTTTATTTTTAGGAGGCTAGTAATTTCCTTGATAACTGGACATTACTAACCGATTGGCTAAAGGAACAGTTAGTCTCATTAGAAGAGGATGGTGACCGTGTAGCTACAAGACCAGAAAAAGTAGCCTACCAACTAGCTGTACATCGTGAATTACAACGACAGCTGAGCACACGTACTGTAACTTACGATGGAGTACGACGTTATGCTAGACAGCTACGTGACAGAGCCCCAGTGTGTGATCATGATGAACTCGATGATATGGTTAGTGAACTGAAACATTTGTGGCAGGCAGTATGTACGAAAGCACTAGCAAGGTAATTAATTTGTCAGTCTTCATAATTTAAATGATAACAAGCACATAAACACTTCCTTTTTTATTACGGTCTTCATTAGAATCCATTTAAGACTCATTAGTTGGACGCAAATGAATCTGTAAGGGTGTTTTCGTTTAGATGCAAACACTGCATATCACTTCAAACGCTTGAGTGTTGCCCAATAAACTGTTGAGTTATATCAGTAACGCATTCTGCGACAGGTGTTAGTTGCTTTCAAACCTTGTAATCTGTCTATCGAATTCGATTCAATAAAGTAAATAACACCTTCAAAAAATGACAATTTACGGCAGTATCCAAATCATGACATAGTGATCATCCAAGACCTATAGAGACAAATCCATTAAAGTGAAAAATAACGAAATGCTAAATTTACTGAGTTTTAAATGTCAATAGGACTTTCTATTGTATGCTTTCCTTACACACGCTGAAATGATGAAAGGTAATCAAAACGTTGAACGATATAACCTATGGGATATGCCAAAAGTATGTGAAATTTTCAGTTGTTGTTCGTGTACAATTAAGCTGAAGAGAATTCGGTTTTTCAACCTCTAAGTTATTTTAGAAAGTATAGTTCAACTCTCACCTGTCTATGCATTCTGAAGAAGTTATTAGGTTTGGTTATGAAATACTCATGATCAAAGATAAATGCTCAAAAGACAGCAATGAGGTTGTTATTATGTATCCAGTCCCTCTTAGTTTTCTCCACGGTTGCAATACAAATACATCGATACGACTGTAGACAATAAATAGTATCCAAAACGTTATTTACAAAATACTGATTCTGTTGCAACGACGAATAATTTAATATAAACTGATACACTGTGTGAACCTGTAGCTTCAAAATACGTGATTTCGTTCCACTTACGTAATTCTGGCTGTGAGATACACTTAAAATACAAGTGAAAACACAAGTATGTTAGTGGACAGCATAAGTAGTTAGTAACCACTTAGGTTGTTCTGTATATTTCGCTAGCCAGATCGGAGTAATCTAATCACCAGATGGCCGTTTCACCCGTTTGGGGCAGCACAAATTTGTGGAGCTGCAGCTCACTGGTTTACGGAGATGACTTTCAGCCAATGGGTCATGGGTTTGAACAGCGTTCCACCTACCGAGGTTTGGGCAGACAGGTGGTATCAGTAGTCCTTACACACTAGGTGTAACTCATTGCCTACTACTAAAATGTGCTTAAGGTTCCTGAGTTCATTTCGATTTCACTCGATTCGAATCAGCCAAACTTCTATAACGGAGGTGAAGTGTATAGCTCACGTTGGCATTTCTGACAGCAGAGTAGTTCTTTGGCTGCTGAACGTTTTGGTATTAGATCCCTTTGATCTAATTGGTGAAATCTACAGATCAGCCAGAGTGGTTGTCAACTACTCACTTTGTTCAGTCATGTATATTTCTTTAGTTCGTCATATGTTTGTGTCAGTAGTCACACCTTGTGATCTTGACTGGGTGATTTCCAAGGGAAATCTTGTCGACAAAACAGTCGGGCAGTTCGAAAACTGCCCAGCTGTGAAGAAGTCTACGCAGACCTTTACAATTGATCATCTTAAAATCCAATAACACCACACAACGTTTATACGCTTATTGCCATAGTCACTCTAATCTTGTTTAATACTGTTTTAATAATGGACTATATATACTTAGTTGTATACTACCATATAATCTGCAAGCATAAAATAACTCATAAGTGATTTTTTTGTATTCTGTTGCATATCATCCCTAAATCTAACATAGCTCTTCGAAATTTACCTTATTATAAGAATGTATACAGTTTAACCTAACGGAATTACTCTGCTATATAATTCATTGGCCTATACATGTTTTCTGTTGTTTAACATTTTATAGACAACGTATTTTAGAACAAGCTCTCCTAGCATCTGGTCTATATAAAGAAGCGTTAGAAGCGTTACTTGATTGGCTAGGAAAAATTGAACCACAGCTTGCTGAACAACAGACTGGAAATTATGGTGATGTGGATACTGTTGAGGTTAGTCCTTTATTGCCCATAAATATTGGTTTCCCAACTCAATGGTGTATTTTTTTCAGTTGTATACAAAAGACCATTGGTAAGTACTCTTGCTTGGGGGAGGGGGACGGGCACAAAATTGGACGAAACAGTTATTGTTCGACCTATACCAGCTTGGAACGAAGTTAGCTTACGTAATCTAGATGCCATAATAATAATAATAATAATAATAATAATAATAATAATAATAATAATAATAATAATAATAGCTGATCGAAAGTTATTCGATTGAATAAAGGTTTTAAGGCTTATAGACTATCTCTACTGATGAAATAAATTTTTGGGTATACTGTAAAAGTTCGTTGGAATTCAATTTTAGTCACCCTCTGATGATCACTTCGTCAATACAAACTATTCCTAGGAGGCTATTTGTGACCCTGATAACCTGTCTATGTGATTGAACAATGTGAATTCACCTTTGGAAAAGAGCACTGAGTTTTCTCGATGTTAATGTTACACTAACTAGTATGAAATCAGGATATCATGTTTCCAACTTATTCATTCCCGAATTTTTAAAATGCTAATTTACAGGTATTTATTCACAGATACTTTTGTAATGCTGTTGATTACTGTTTGAAAACAAAGTAATCTTTTTAAATTGGATAAAGGTCACCCGAATTACAAAGTTCTTAACCTACATCTGAGACGTAACCAATCAGCATCTACCCTAACAAAAGGTACCAGCACATCATTTATACGTGGTAGTAAGCCATCAATTCACTGACTACCTATTTGAGCCATGTAAGAGCGTATAAGTTTCCTGACTGTAGTCATCATGCAATACTATAAATCAATGGTTGAGTCTAGGTAATCAGACTCTAAGTTGGGCACAATGATGCATATTTGTTAGTCTATTCTTTTCGTTAGGTTTCGAACAACTTACTAGTCTATATATTATTGTTTCTCACTTAGTATTATGCTTCTTATCTGTTGTGATACCTTCCGACTTTTGCCGCTTTCTTATTTTATCCTACAAAGTGAATCGATGAAATTCTGTACAATGTTTGTCTGTTGATCTCTTGGTCTGTTTTTTCTGATACTCACCAGGTATCATTTACAAATTAGCACAACGTTTTGATTTTAATAAAAAGTTGGCACTCATTTAGTTTGTGGATTTCAATTAATTCATTTTCAAAAAGTATAGAATAGTAGTAACTTTTATGTTATAACGGCTCATTCCTAGTATATTTTTACCAAGACTTTTATCTTTTCTTTGTAAAGTGTTGTTCACATAAACAGAAATTGTTTACTTGTACCATTATAGCAATTGTTGGAGTCACATCATTGTTTCAAGGCCGAATTGGAGCAACGTGCAACATCGGTGAAATTGATACGTCAAGCCGCCAATGATTTAATGACCAAAGCTGCGTCATCCACAGACTCAGGAATCTGTCCATCTACTGGAAATCAAGCTGATGTGATTGCTATGCAAGCTCAGTTGAATCACTTGACAAAAATATGGGATCGTGTTCAGAATTTAACTCAACGTCGAAGTGAACGACTAGATCAAGCCTTAAAAATGGTAATTTTGTTCGCTTTCAGAATAGCATTTAAGTATCAAGGCTGAGACTAAAAGTTATCCCCAGGTGTTATCGTACTCACCATAGGTTGTAGTGTTATTGTGGAAATACAAACATTTCCTGTGTTCTATATTAATATTCTACGTATTTGGATACTTTCTACAATGTCATCTATTATTGAGTCGTGTTTCAAACCGTTTATTCATGTGCAAAGTGTTGCAACCATGGTTATACTCCCACTTCTTAGGCGATAAGTGAGTACAATTATTCAGAAAGAATGATGCTCACAGACCACAGTGAGTTAGTTGAGGCTTCAAGTTACATCGAAAAGGACTTATGATTGTTTTTTTCACTTCAGAACTCTTGCATACAGAACACGTAAAAGACATATTTTCAGACAGAATGCTGTAACACCCAAGGCTAACCTTTAGTCTCACCCCATATTAACAACGTAAATTTTGTTAATTAGTTTTCTCTACTTGAGGAAAAATTTCAACAATCTATTAGATAGTTCATTGACAATATACTAGCTACAATTTACATCAAGTATTTTTACAAATTATTAAATCTATCCAATGATGAAAAGGCTGGTCAGGAAAAACGCCACTCAAGTGTATCCTCTTTTGTGGTTTTCAGAGTCTTATCGAGTGAAATAAGAAAAAAACTCATGACCCTCTGATGGATACAATTCGATCTTTTGCCACCTATGACTGATCGAATTTTTGCCAATATCCGACCAAATGACCAGAGTTCGCAGGAACATTAATAGTGAACCACGATACAATATACGGAACACTTTAACACTTGTCTAAAGTACATAATTCTACTCTTAAAATAGGTTGTTGTAAATTCCATGAAACTACTTGGGTGAACATTTGTTAAATGTTGATGGACAAGGTTTTCTTTCTCTCCAAAAATCTGTTTTCTTTGGGTAACATACGTATTTCAACTGATTGTTGGTATGATGTAGGTTGTAATCTAACAACTGTCACCATGTATTATGGTTTACTAGTCCGACTAGTTATCAGACGCTTGTGATTAACCATGTTCTCATTGAAACGGAAGAGTCATTGATTTAACTTCAAAACTCAGAAGGCCAGTTCACCTCTCCATGTATAACTCTGTAGCTGTTCTGCATTTAGCTTTTGACCCAATTGCAACGATTCTGTGAGTTTATTTTAGAGTGCGAAGTAATACTGTGTGATTACTGTAACTTGAAAATGATAGAGAATATGCACAAATGTTTCATGAAGTTGGTGGGGGGATGACGGCTTATGCAAACGATTACAGCTTCCTGATTCATCTTTGATAGTTGTACTGGTGATAACTTGAGATTCTTTTATAAATATAGATGAGCGAACATAAAACGTAACACTTCGCACGCATTGAACCGATTGAAATTTCCATAGTTTGAACCTCACAATAGTAAACAAGGAGAAATAAATGAAAAGGTAGATAACGAGTCCGTGTAGACTAGAAATAAGTTTGTAAAATCTGAATGCGGATAAAAAATGAAATCATCTTTGTCACCATAACCGAAGTTCCTTTATACTACCTCATGTCATCAAATTATGATTCTCCCCGTTGCGTAAAGCTTATTCAGTTTCAATGTAGTTGTAGGGTATTACATTTAACCTTAACACTAACTTGCTTGTTGCGAGACAAAAGTCTTAATTCTGAATCAAGAAAAGATGGATGATAATGACTAAAGAAATCCTAGACGAAAAGAACCTGGTTGTTTAGTGCTCACCCACAGTTTCCAGTAGCTTTCCAACTGAATCTTCGCATTATTCAAACCATTATTGCATATTAGATTTGTTTGTCTGATATACAGTGACACAGTATTACTTACTTCATGACTTTTTGAGCATAAATTATTGCTCATAGTCATATCAACGTAATTACACTACTCTTGACATCTGATTTTTATAGTCCTGTCACCTCAAATTCTATGTTTTTACTAGTAGTAAAATTTTCCATATCTCTGGTATAGGCGTTGCGTCATTCCGATTGCATGCGTTAGGTGTAGATTCGGTGAACAAAGAGATACAGGAATCTCTCTCTCTCCACCTAATTATATTGGTCTTAAGTACAGTGGTTTTATCCTATCCTATTGTGTGGTTGCGTGTTAATGCATGCATAGCAATAGCCGAGTTTTTTTCTAGATTGTTGATCTTATTTGGGTCTGTCATTCTATTTTAGCTAAATTTCTATGTCCCGTTATTGTGACTGACCTCGACCGGCTAATCTGTATGTGTATGTACTTGACCTATGTACTTGACGTCACAGTCATTACATAGGAAGTAGTGTGATTGCACTGGTATGATTATGAGCAATAATTTATGCTCGAAACGTCATCATGTAAGTAATACTATATCACCATGCGTTATAATTCAAATAAACAAACCTAATATGGAATTAAATCCTACCACAGTGCCCACGTTTTACACTCATATTAATTCAAATCATCATGCCTTTTAAGTTGAAAGTATTCACTTCTGGTGAGATTTCAGACAACACATCATAAAGTTCACTAATAAGTTTAAGCAATTGATCTGATAACTTTGTTTTTGAAGCTGACTGTATGCTTCTACATAAGTGAGGGAAATAATATTTCTTAAGTAATTTTATTCAAATAATATTATCTCTATTGATAGGCTGAACAGTTTCAAGATACTTGCCGAAGCTTAATGGATTATTTTGCTGGTGCAGAACGCGTCATCCATCGCTTAGCTGCTTTGCCTACTTTTGATGATGATGGTGACCTAGAAGATGAAACTGTTGGGGCTAATGCCAACAGTCCACCTACTAATTTAACTAATGCAATCGTAGCTCATCAGCAAACGCATACTAATTTGATGAATCAAGCTGATCGAGTGGAAGCAGCTTTACAATTAGGCAATAGACTTTTATCTCAAGCTCATCCAGCAGCCGTGAAACGCTTACGTCAATGGGTCAATACTATTCGGACACGTTGGGAGGAGGTATGTTTAATGCAAGCATGTTATAACTACAACCATTGTTCTCATTCAGACACAAAATAATGCACTTCTTATATGATTAAATGTGTCACATAAAATAATATAAAAATATTATGAAAAGATAGGAATAACTAAAATGTGATTGCCAATGACTTTAGTTCTGAACCACATCTGAGAGGATCTGGAGCCACATTTTGTACTGACCCAAGTAACCAAAATGCGCTTCTAGGTGCCAACTAAACGTTTATTCTATGATGCCATGAATTAAGCTGAATACTCACTCCTTTTTCAGTCCCTCGAATGTCATTAAATAAATATTTGAAGATGTGTGTAAAATATACTCGAAATACTGAAATTAAGATTTCTAACTAGTCTTTCTGTTTGAATAATAGCTTCCATCACAATTAATCATAGCACTCAACTCTTCTCTTACGTACACTATTCTTTCATTCAATAGAAGGAACAAAGCGAATTTAGGGATGATGAAATACATATTGCTAATAAATAAATTCTCGGAACAGAAATGTACACAAAGAAACGTTGTACGACCAGATGCATTCTGAAAAGCTTGTGTTTTTTGGATACTGGTGATGTACTCCATATATTTTGCCATACAATGATAAATCTCTTCTGCAACACTTACAAAAGTACTCAAAGGTGTTTAAATGCATTAACTTTTCAAACATTTCTAGAAAGTTCATCAGCCTTGGTGTGATTATAGGTGGAGATTGTCTCTTGTGAAAAATACTTTACACATGGATGGTTCAAGACATACGCCATACTCATAAACGTTGCACTCTGACACAATAAAAGAATTTTGTTCGGCCTCTAGGCTATCATATAACTAATCGGCATCATTTTGCATAGTGATGATGGAACACTTTCTATAAACAACGTGAAGACTTCGTCACACTTTTCGTTTGGCATTGTGTCTATACTGTTCAAAATACAACTTTTCTGAACGTTTTACTGTATAATTTCATAGCTTCCCTAAAAGAATATTCTTCTGATTTCGTCTTCCACACATGCTAGGGTTATACTACAACATTTTTGTATGGATTACTAAATCAGACTCAACTCTTGAATTCTTCCAGGACATACGTAAAATTAAGAGAAAATAATGAAACCTATTGTACTTCTGACATGCAAATGAATCAATATTTAGCTAATTTTTTATTTGGCGTATCAGCAGAGAATCAGTAAATTATCCACTGATATAAAGTGGCAATTTTACTGATTAGCAGTATACTCTTGTTCTTATGGAACAACAGTTTTTTAAACATTCAGTATTCAGAAACGATGATTTATGATGTACTGACTAGGCCGTGTAAACAAACTACCCGTGTAGATTACGAATCATGTCATGCCTGACTTGGTGATAAAGCCTACTAATTTGGCACTAAGTAACGCAAGCTTGGATCTCTGAGAAAAGATGAGCTTGTTCAAGGTTGCCGGTACACCTTATTGATGAGTACCAACAAACACAAGGTGAAGTCGAGCTTCTTGTAAGTTAACTACCAAAATCTAACTATTTACCATTTCATGATGTTAATTCTAGGAGTTTGACAAGTTCAGAGGACACTTTTATCCTATCTCGATCCGCGTTTCCATTTTAACTTTGATCATCTTGCTGTGGATAAAGATCAGTTCGCTAAAGAACGGTTCTTTAAGATTGCCTCACCTAAAAGATACAAATTTGCTGTTTAAACAGTCATTTAGAAATATGTGTTGAAACGTTTTCTCATTCCTTCTATTTGATCATCTCCAGGTTCCGATGTGAAAATAGGTATAGTTAGATATTGTACTATACCTGTCGCACAAGAGGTGGCTGTCATGATTCAGTAGCCTAGCGGATAACGCCCTTCCATTTGAAGCGATTGTTCTCAGGTACGGGTCTTTAGGGGAAAAGCGTCACTCATTGAGAGACAAGTATATCCAGCTAACGAAATCCAAATAGAACGAAACATGCGTTCATCATCCCTTTGCTAGTCACTACCTATCATTAATGAAAAGCGTTATGGCTGAGCAGGTTTAAAGTTGTGCGTCATTCGATAAAGAGATTACCTGGCACACCATGATTTGTAGTAGTTACTCGACATGCATATTGCTCTGTGATGTGAACCAGCTTTTATTTCCTCGTCACAACCATAACTAGAATGATTTAACAGTGAACTTCTTGTTTCTTAAATATGTATACACAGTTTTGCCGAAATATAATTTTATTACTGCTAATTTTGGGGGATATCGCATCTGCAGAACTCATTGTTAGCTGATGTTTGTCTAGGTAATCATTATTTTATGATTTCTCCACCTTGTAGCGGTGTAATACAAGAGAACCTGAATGATGGGTTGTCTTCATTCTGTATCGACTAATGTACACAATACTATTTATAACAATTTAAATAATGATTACTTGTAATTTATTTCCCTTAACTTTGAATAGTTAACATCTTGGTCTGAACAACGTGGAGAACGTTTACAACAAGCTTTAGAAGAACAGCATAAGAGGAAAATTCAACGGGAAGAACTCATGGAATGGATTCATGCAAAAATTAATAAGTTAAAAACTATCCCATTATCGTTACCTGTATCAGTATCATCCTCATCAACTAATCTGCACTCAGCTAAGAGTAAACTTGACTCTGATGATTCTAGTCACAGTAGGCAATCAATCGATTCTAAAGATTTATTTCCTGCCACCCAAGAGCGTGTTGCTTTGTCTTCTACAGTCTCCTCAATTCCTCTGCCTAGTGGTAGTAATGTAGGTAACATAGATTTGAAGCAAACTGAAAGTATCGTTGATTCTACACTAATAATCAATGAAATTACTGAGGCGTCAGTTATTGAAAAGCTACTCAGTTTGCACAGCCAACTAGAAGAGGAAGTTAAACAAAAACAACCAATTTATGAAGATATTATAAAGCATGCTAAACGGCGTACTCCAGTTAAATCATCAAATACGCCTAGTATACGTCGAGGTCGTCAATCTATGCGACCTAGTGGTACATCGTTAAGTCGTACTTCTAATACAGCAAATCAACAACAGCATAGTCCATCTGTGTCTATTTTCACTTCATCAAATATTAACCAGTTATATTCAAGTTGGAGAGAATTATGGCTCGCAATGCTTGCGCGTAAATCCCATTTGAATGAACGTCTTGCTTATTTAAATGAAGTGGAGAAAATGAAAGATTTTCAGTTTGAATCATGGCGTCAACGTTATGTATCATGGTTAAGTGCAAATAAGGCACGTGTTATTGATTTGTTTCATCGTAAAGATCGTGATCGAGATGGTAGACTTACAAGAGCTGAATTTATCGATGGTATCATAGAAATGAGTAAGTTTGCCATACCTTATTATTTCTTGCCTTTCACTATTATGAAATGAGTTATGTGATGTGGAATAACTGACTAACTAGAAACTTATTAGGAAATATTGAATCAACTCACGTATCAAAAGACCATTATATTCTTTCGAAATCACGGTCATCAATAATGTGTCTCGACAAATTAGGTCAAAAGGTATTACTTCTTAACTGTCATCAGCTTTAAACCAGTTAATGTAGATGATTTCCGACGCGACTTTCCCTTCTGAACTTCCTCCTTTACACCAGATTGTTTTTATTTGCCAAATCACAATCCGTTAATCAATTCAGTTACTGTCAATTCAAAGAAACTAGGATTCAAGGGATGGAATTATTATGACTGGCATATTTGAACCACTGATTTATCGGTAATTCATTCATACCAGATTTCTGCAAGTACTGACTAGCATAGTTGATCGCTGGTTTGGCAAGAGTTAAGTACTCTCCAAATGATGCACATTTGAATGTGATATTATTGAAGTTAAGATTATTGACAATTTTATAATTCTTAAGTGGCTATTTTACACTTTTTTTATCATGGCTTTTACTAAATTCCAGTTATGTTAGATAATAAAGTATCAGGAATTTGTTGTCTGATACTTGTAATCGCCCGTTCCTATCCTTGGTCAAATTGCTCAACCTCTGCTGGCGAATCGGCCCATATGAGGATGCCTCCATATAGCCCGACTACTCATAATGTTGTTGTCTACTTGGTGGTTATCAGCAACACGCATCCCGGATTCCCACGCTAGCCACCAAACAGACAGCAATACCATCGGTTTGGTTCAATAAGCTTTTACAAAACAGTCTTTTAACAGATAATTTAAAACTTAATTCCACTTTATTCTCATCATTGGCCTGAAATGATGGCGTTTTGAACGACTGATGCTAGTTTTGAGTTACATTAAGAACACAATCAACCATTGGGGATCCATTCAGTCAGTCAGTCAGCATCAACATAGGACCTGATATTGCTGAGTGACGATACAAGTTGCACATCAAAGTATGAGGAACAACTATGAAAGGAAGAGAAACAGAGGAGAAAGCAACCTAAAAGTGTTAAAAAGTCCTTAAAGTAGAACAAGAAGGAATAAAACAATTTTGAAGTGAACAGCAAACCTATTTTCTCCCCTACAATCCCTTTAACCATTGACTTTTTTGCTCAAATTTCTTTGATCAGTCTGTGTACTGGCGATGCAAGTACAATCCGATGGGTATCAGATTAGACGGAACCTCTGTCAAAGATTCTGGTGCTAGTCACCAGTGAACAAACAATATGAGAAGGGTTTCATTCAGTTGTATGTCTTACGAATGTATTGAAGATAACAGTAAAAACATGCTTACCAACATTGCGGCTATTGCATCAACTGATCTTCGAAGAGTAGCCAATTTCATGGTGTCTTTTCTTAGCTGCTAATCAGATTCTGTCAACCAACTTCCCAATGTGACAGTTGTAAACTGTCAGCAAAAAGCTGTGTTTGAATTAGACTTCGTTCTTCTTGGCGGAGAGTATCTGCAACGTTACAAAAGCTGGCCCCCTTCGGATCAGTGCGCCTAATCCAGCCTTACAGGAGGTTTGTCATGGCTGTCACAGCCTAGGAACGACATCTCTGACTGCAGAAGTAGGTGATGTGGGTTTGGATCTCTAGGATAATAAATGTATCGGTCGCCTCAATATGTCAGATACGCCCTGTTGACAAGCGTCAACCAGTAAGAAACCTCGGTTCAGAGTTTTTTGTGGACTGTCTGCAACCAACTTACGGAAGATTTCCACTGAATCTAGTGGAAAAATGACTCTAGATTTATATATTAATGCCAATGTTACTTTTCTTAATTAAGGATATGTAACTATAGAATCCCAACTTTTCTATATATAACGCAATATTAACTAGATGAAACAAGCCGCAAAAGTAAGTGTGGATGTATAGGTTTATTTTGTTTGCACGCCTACGTGCATTTCTCCTTCATCTCTCCACTCACTGTTCAGTTAATTCCAGTTTCATTAAATTTTGTGCCCAGAGGTTCATACATCTTGACACATTCAAAATAGAGTACAAATGGAGTACATCGATTGTCACCGAGTTTTTCCGACTTATCTGCTGACGTTTTTTTTTGTCTATTTTCTAATGTTTTTATTCATCAAAGGTTAACGTATTGTATTTATTCTAATTATTTGGTTGGCGTTTTAGATTTTACTGTTGATCTGAAAAAAACACTTAATTTTGTTAGTAGATGTTTTATTGTTCAGTTAAGTGGTTCAATATGATTTATTCCATATAATTTTCATTTCTCTATGCTTATTTTATTATTTTTGATACTATGTAGATATTGAGTAGACCACTGGTTTCTTAAGGTGATCTACTGCTTACATATACACTTGCTAAACCTGACATTTTCCTCTTGTATAACCGCATCTGACTGCTAGGCTATTAATTCTTAAGTGTCATGTGTATGTATATCTGTAATCGACGGAAGATATAGAAATAAATGCTTCTAGTAAATTGCCTTGTCCTCCAAATTATATTTACTTATTACTTGATTCCTGTGAAGTATAAAAACCATATGAAAGAATAATGATGGATAGGGGCTAGCAGTGGAATCCAGGACGTGCGTTTCGTCCTATTTAAGACTCATCCCAGTGGGGACATCACTCACTAGGAGGCAGGTACATCCGGCTGACGAGTCCCAAATAAGACGAAACGCTAGTCCTGGATTCCACTTCTAGCCACTATCCATCATTAATATATAATTAAAACACAGACAATATCGAGGCGCCTGCGCAGGGGACCATATGCCAACAGAGACTGATCAGTTCGGTTCAATCAACGACGGGATAATACAAGCAACAACATCACATGAAAGATTGTTTATTACTGAAGTCACATACGGTTATTTCATCCAACTTGTAAGTAACGAATTTGGTTTATTCTACATCCAAATATTATTTGATTCCACTGAAACAACAACAGATAACTAGAAGCTACGACACTATCATCATATATAGTGGTACAAGTGTATACTATAGTGATATATGGTATAGTGTCGTGCCCAGTTGCCTCTATCTCGCAAGATTGATTTTCTAAGGTTATTCATCCCACCTGTTATTTTTACACAGGTTGAATATTAGCTTTAAACATACTATATATATATATATATATATATATATATATATATATATATATATATATATATATATATATATATATATATATAATTCAAAATTTATCATGAGTAGCAAATCTTCACTATACGATGTCACATGTTGGACGGTAAACCATGAAATCTTCTTTTTCAAGTTAGTGAGCTATTTGTTATGCGGCTACCCGCTTATCGATAGCAATCAGTTCATGCTATATGCCCTTTTCTTTTACAGCTGTTCAAGAATTATCGAACTTTTTATTCATATCATGACTTATTCCATAAAATATCCTGATATCATAAACTTTTTTTAGTAAAAACTATAATTATTCATTTTAATTCTCGGTATCTCACTTCCTAAGTTGCCTTCACCACTCACTAAACAGCTAGTTTCTATCACACTGTAATTCTATAAGGTTCATTGGTGTTTTATTTTGTCCTAAAACGGTTTACTACCCTTGATCAATTTTTGACTAATAGAGAGAGAAGCAGAAAGCTGTAGTTTCCTGTCATATGTTTTCAGTCTGGCAGAGCAGATATGTTTCTTTCAGTGCCTCGTAGATAGTGAAGCGATTTGAAAACAATCTCCATCTTGAATTGAAATCACCGACGGAACCGTTAAAACCAAGGAATACTAGGCGGCTGTTTCACCCTAGATTGGGTCTCATCAATTGTCCACAGTCACAACTCCGTAGGAAGTTGACTTGCTGATCTTAAGTTCTTTCCATAATACCGTTATTGATCGGTTGCTCTCTTGGTTTTCTTGAAGTTATTGAAGTTATTGGACCTATAACTAGTCAGTACTTAGTGATGGTACTAGATGATGATCGTCCTAAATAGTAAGTTGATAGAAGTTGGGAGATGAGGATCATTGAGTTCCGACTCCATGACTAAACGTTAACTTGCTGACCGCAAGAGCTACAAGTTATGAACTTGACTTCATACTTGGCCAATTTTCAGAGTCATTTAGGAGACGAATTACCTGTTTGTCACTTCATCAGCTTCAAAATCCTCCTCACTGATGTCAGTTTGCAATGAACTCTATCTTCATATGCGCTTCCTACCCTATCATTAAGAGAACTAAAGATATGATTCACAAAACACTCAAGCTTCCTATCATCCCATGCATAGTATAATTGTAAACTCACGTTTTCAAGAAAGAAAGTATTCAAGTCAAAGTTCATGCACCTCAGTCTTAGCAACTAGTATACCACCATACTATAAACTCATATTTTGGTAAATTAGGTCAGATTGTAAAATATATACATATCAATCTGACCAATTATGACTACTTTAGGTACATGAAATCAAGAAATATCTTCACCTGCCTCAATCGATTTCTATTGTCTTTTTTCTCTCGAAGCTTTCCATTTTCTTAGTAAACCGGTCAGAGACATCCTAATCACATGGTCTGACTCTACTTGATATTCAGTGTTTGTTTGCTTGCTATGTAGTGTTGTATGTGTACTCACACATTTACAATACACAAACAGAGGGAGCTTATGACTCATCAATTCATTGTATTGTTTCAGATTCGTGAAGTTTAAAAAATACACCAAAAACAAAACGACATTATTGATGTCGTGTTAATTATTTTATTTTATTATTTGTCCCTTAGATTCCTAGTGGAACATAGGGCTTCAGTAGCACGTCTCCATTCCACTCTCTTCTCTGCAGTCTTTTGAACCTGGCGCCACGACTGCCAAGAAGCTTTCATTTCTTCCTCACACCATCTCCTCCATGTCATCGTCGGACGCCCAACTCGTCGTTTTCCGTTTGAATTCCACTCGACGGACTGGTGCGTGCTGTCTCCGAATGGCTTTCTCAGTGTATTCACAATGCATCTCCACTTTCTTCTGCATATTTGTTGGGCGACGGGTTGTTGCTGGTTCGTTCCCAGCCAGCCAGAGTTCCTTGTTGCTCATTCTTATTATTCTGGCCATCTGATCTTCAGTATCGAGTAAGCATAGGCGGTAGCTGTTGATGAATGTCTGTAGTTTGTTAGAAATGCTTTTCGCAACACGCCAAGTCTCTGAACCATCACACTGAAGCACTGACTTGACTGAGTTAGTGTTGAAAATCCGGATCTTGTTGTTTATGCTGAGTGCATTGCAGTCCAGTAGATCTCCACACTGGTTTCAGGTTAATGAAGGCCTGTCTTGCTGCCTTTCCGATCCTGGCTTTGGCGTCCTCATCTGTGCCGCGGCCTGCAGTTGAAACAATACTGCCTAGGTTGGTGAAAGAGACTACTTCCTTTAGGTTTCTCCTGTTGATGGTGATTGGCGGTAGTTGTTGTTGGTTGGGTGTCTCACCACCTCTGTCTTTATTACGTTCACCCGAAGGAAGTCCTGTCTACGCTGCCCTGCCTCTTCTGCCAACTTGTTAGTTTTCGCCTGTAGACCTTCGAGTTTGTGCGACAAGACATTAGACGTAAATCATCATCAGCGAAATCCAAATCTTCTAGGCTCTTTTCATCGGTCCAGCCAGCGTATGCCCCTCTTCTCGCTCTTCACAGTTTGTTGCATGATCCAATCCAGTCGAGTTGACCACAATCAGAAAGATGATTGGTGATGATAGTCGGCGGCAGCCTTCTCTTACCTGTCAACCTCTCTTCACTTCACTTCAAAGGCGTCACTGAGCTTCCCATTGTGAACCCCTTGGCATGTGGTATCGTCATACAGCTGTTGGATGAGGTTGATAAAGGTTTGTGCTGTGGCACTGAAAACGTAGTGTTGAAGCAGCCGCCTGCAAAATTATTTCTCGGTTGACGCTGTCGAAGTAAGATCTTTTCAGAGTCGATGAAGTTGATGTAGAGGGTTGACTGCTATTCTATACTCTGTTCAATGATGCTGCCTAGCGTAGCGTTGCAATTCGCTGGACACATGATTTATTTTAACTGAAGTAAGTCAGCCAGGCAGCCTGTTCTGGTCGTAATTTTGAAACCAGAGCATCTTTTAGTCTCTCCAGGATGATGAGGCATAATATTTTGCTTGGTGTGGACAGGAGCTTGATTCTACACCAGTTCTTGCAAAGACTTAGGTCGGCCTTGTTTGGGAGTTTGACAATGTAGGCGTTCTTCCAATCTGCGGGTACCTTTCCTTCCCTCCTTCCAAACCTTCTGCAATAGTGATGTGAGCGTGTCCACTGTTGTCTCTGAATCTATTTTCAGTGTTTCTGGAGGAATTTCATCTGGTCCTGCTACTTTCTCTGGTTTCAGCAGTTTTATGGCGTCCAGGACTTCGACTTTTCTCGGAGGGCTTGTGTTCACTGGTAATTCTGTGGCTGGGCTGCAGGTGGTATTTCTGGACGAGTTGCAGGTTTTGGTGGTCAATTCAAGAGTTATTTGAAGCGATCAGCCCATCTTTTCCTTTGTTTCTCCTCTTTGGTAACTAAGTTTCCTTCACTATCTTCATTGGTTTCATCTGCGTTGATCTCTTCCCAGATAGTATTTTGGTTATTTTATAGTGTTGTCAGGTCTCTCCTACCAGCAGTCTGTTCTGCTTCACTTTCCAGTGTGTCGTAGAAGTGTGTTTTGTCTTTGCGCGCACTCTTCTTCACTTCTTTGTCCAGTGTTTTATGGGTTGTGTTCAGTTCCTCTTTTCGTTGTTCATCCCTGCACTGCACTGGTCCATCTTCTGCTTCACCATCTTCCTCTCCCTTCTCTATCAGCTTCTATGTGCCCGTTGAGATCTATTCCTTGTCTTGTTTCTTCTTCTTTCGTAATACGGTTATATAGGTTTCCTTCCACATCTCTTTCAAAGAGTTCCAGTGTTCTTCCATGCAGGTTTCCTCAGGGATATTGCTCAATGTCTCCCATTTTCTCATGATGACTGACTGACGTGAAAATGTTCTTCGTAGTTTCATCCTTCAGTTTCTGTTCTGGGTGTTGAACTTAGACTGTGGTCTATCAACAACTTCTGTGAAGGCTTCCAACTTGATTTTGAAAGTAGGTTCCTTGAGCTGGATAGTGAGTGGTCTGAACCTATATCCGCCCCCCTTCTTCATTTTGTATCCAGTAGGCTGCGTCTCCACTTTCTTGAGATTGAGGTGAAGTGGATCTGATTTTTAGTTTGCCCTGGTGTCTGATGAAGTTCATTTCACTTTGTGAATATCCTTGTACACTGCCTCCAATCACCAGAAATCTGCAAACAGTTCTCTGTTCTCATTTATTTCACCGAGTGTTTCTCGACCCATGATGAGTTCTCTTCCAGTGTTGTCTGCTCCCAGATTGGCATTAAAACATGTCATCCCTTTGAATTTTGATGTCGCCAACTAGATTGGGGTCTTATCCATTACTGATTGCAGTTGTGTGTAGAATTTCCCCTCTTCTTCTCTTGATCTGCATTACTTATAGGTGCGTAGCATTGGCATTGTATGATTGTGACTTTCCTTCCTTTTGAGGAGTTGAATCTTGCTGTCATAATCCTGATGCTGGAAGAGATTGGTCCCCACTGCATGAGGGAGAGTCTTCGAAGCTGTTGGGGACATCATGATAGCCACTCCGAAACTCAGTGTGCTCGTGGTTGTCGTGACAATATCGGAGTAGATTATTGACTCTCCAGTTAAGAGTTTGGAGAGTCTACTTCCATTCCATCTGCTTTCGCAGATTCCTAGCACTTCTGTGCTATACCTCCTCATCTCGTTTGCAATCTGGGCAACCTTACCAGCCAGCTTCAAACACTGTGCGGACATTCCATGTTCCCATTCTTACTTTTGCTTTCATCGAGAGAAGAGAAGACACATCGGCTAATTGGCTTCCCAAAGGCTTTCACCAACCGGTGTCATTTCGTCTCTCCGATTCCAGGGAGGAATAAGTTCAATTTTATTTTTTATATTTTCTTTGTGCTTTGAAGTATCTTTAGCGATTGAATTGGTTTTAGGGGGTAGGGTTGCTAGCCCTATGCCCAACCTTCCCTCTTTATCCGGGCTTAGGACCGGCTATTAACTAGTAGACCAGTTAACTAAGCGAGGTTAATAGTAACATAAAAGTAGAGGTGTTAGATAGAGAAAAGTAAAACCAAGTGATAAATCGATATAAAATAACAAGATGCCTACTGCTTACACAGCAGGGTAGGACATGAAGGTATGCTGCTCACCTTCAGTCGTATCATCCAAACTGTCTAACTAATACTTTCAACTAATTCGATCCGTGATGTATACTTCCTTGAAATCGTTCATACCTCACAAGCCTGCTAAATGAATTTCGACTAAACATAGAAGATAAGATCCTCTTGTCCACCTTTTCGAAATTCTGTTTTAGTTATGGAAGTAAAATAAAACACGCTTGTACAACCAGTAGGATGAAGAACAAACAACTATATATCCCTCATTTGAATGATGACTGTAAAAAGTACTAGCCAGTTATCTCGAAATTGAAACATGGTTCCTGGTTAGACAAGTCATTCGACCTCCGGATCAATGACCCGTAGGCTGTTAGTCTGAGTTTTGTTGGGACCCAGTTTTTTTAATTTATTTCAATCATCATCCTGTGGCAAGTGATCTGGTTATTCTGTAGTGTAATTGACACCTAAATAGATTTCATAAGAGATGGCTACCGTGTCCCAGTGGCTTGGTGGATAACGCCTTGACGTTTAGAGCGATAGGTACTGGGTTCGAGTCTCACAGGGAACAACATCGCTGACTGGGGCGCAGGTATATCCAGCTAATAAGTCATAAATAGGACGAAACGCTCGTTTTGAATCTCACTGCTAGTCACCAATATGAATATAACTGGATTCCAGTTTCACATCAGGCAGTGAATTTTCTGTTGAAATAAACAACTGACCATGCTTCGTCATAACAATTGCTTAGTCTGTTCGAGAAAAACTGGCTACAATGTGATATTTGCTAGCTGACTCTCCAAATAAGTATGCCTCGTGAAAACTAAAATATATGTACCTTTACTGATTCTTTTTTTGTATGATCTATTATTTGTAGACTGCATTGGTAGTTTCCCTTTATTTCCAATTTATCACATAAACACTGGGGTTCGGTTTTCGTTGTGGTACAAGTTTTCTCTTCGAGTATTTTTCACTGCTGATATATGATTTATTTGCTATAATTTTTGGTAGTTCACTCGACTGCAGTATTTTTCAGTTTTCTGAATATTTGTTGAATCTTTTCTTCTTTTATGCATAGAATTCCAAACAACTCGTGTTGAAATGGAAACAGTTGCAGATATCTTTGATGCTAATGGTGATGGGTATATTGATTATCGTGAATGCTTAAATGCACTACGAGCTAATTATATGAGTTTGGATAGAGCCTCATCATCAAATACAACGGGTGGTAGCTCATTAAGTTTAAATCGCTTTGGTCCATCAGATGAAGAAACTATTAACGATGAATTACGACGTCAAGTTGGATTGTGTACATGTCATAATACTTATAAGATTAGAAAAATGGCAACAAATAAATATCGGGTTAGTTTTAATTGAATGCAATGAGAATTACAGCTAAACTTTTATCACCATTCAGTTATCAGTTGACCAATGAACAAAGTATAAATTAGGAAAAATGTCTTTCATCCTGTATTAGGGATTCTTCCCCATGACTCATCCAAAGCATATCGGCCTCGTGATCATCAGAATATATGATCAGTAGGCTAATATTTCACCCATTACACTCATTTGTTCATCTTCATATTTAATTCGCTTTCTAGAATGTATTTAACTTCTGAAGGTATTTCTCAAAATGACGTCGTGTTGATTGCTTAAATTATTAATTTCACCAGCTGGAATCGAACTAAAATATTAATAGGTAATTATAAAGTTTCTAAGGTATTTGAAAACTAGACTGTTTTCCTTTGAGAGATAAGTTTCGCTTATATAGGTGTAAAAATTGGGCACTGTGATAGAATTCAATTCCATCACCAAATAAATAATAGTGTCCCTGTGTGTTATAAGTCAAATAAACAAATCTAATATGGAGATTGGTTCTGCATTTACGAAATGTCTGTATGCGAACTTGACAGACGCAGAAGCCAATCACTAATTATTCGTACTTGTAATATACCCACAAATACGAGACCAAGGAAGAACACAAAAGTGTAGTCGGATAAAATAGTATATTTGTGAGGTCGTGCCAAAATACTGATGCGTTCCGACTACCTGGCTAGAGGGTTGATTACGGGCAGTGCAACGTAACATGACAGCGTGTCAAATGGCGTGGATGCTTGAACGTGTGCCTTCAGCTTAACGAGTCCGATAAGACTATGAAGGTCAGCATCAATGTTGAGTCTCATGAAACCCTAGGTTATTGGTTCTGCAGAAGTATGTGACGCTACACCCATAATTAACTGATCTGCATAGTGGACTGGTTTCTTTTACTTATGTAGACGGAAAGCAAATCCTAGACTGTAGTACCATATTAAATTGGTTAAAGTATCAGGAAACAGCATACTTCGAAAGGTTTCCAAGTACTTCTTGTTAACGAATGTGAAGATACACGTTGAATCCAAGCTCAAGTATATATTTTTATATATGCGCGCATACACTGAATACAGTTACTATTTGACTTAGAAACCTACTGACCGACAACAAAAGCTACAAACAATTACAATCTGATGATGAAATCCAACAATATTGCCATTTGTATCCTATCACTTATTCCTTTCGATTGGCCTGTAGCTCAAGTAATTTAGGAGTCGCCTTAAAGGTAACCTGACAACTACTGAAGCAACCAATTAAAGTTCTTTGTTTTATGAAAAAACCTACCTCTCCAGTCGAAATAAAGTAATCTGATTGGTCGTTGCAGTCGTTGCTAGGGTGGCCTTTAAAGTCACTCGTTATTTAGTCATGGTTTTAGGCCCTTTCCGGACTGTGGAGTAACTTATGAACTATGATTACACAAACTTACATTTGATCAACACACCTGTCAGGAAATGTTTTTAGCTCCAACTATCTCCTAAAATATTCATCTTTATTGGGTAGTAAATATTTTTTTTAACAATTTTCTTACTTTCATTCAGTTCGGAGATTCACAAAAATTATGTCTAGTTCGCATTCTTCGTAGTGCTGTAATGGTTCGTGTCGGTGGTGGTTGGGTGGCGCTAGATGAATTCCTAGTGAAAAATGATCCTTGTCGGGGTAAGTTTTATTGTTAAATTTTTTGTTAACAATGAACACTCATACATTTCTCTAGTCTAGCCCGTCCGTACCAACCCTTAGAACTCTTCGAACATATTGTATCTACCGTGTGATATATTTATGCATGATTAAGTTAATTATCTTCGTTAAATAGAATTGCCAGTTTCATATCTGCAACTTAGCATGTCTCACATTCACATAATTAACCAAATCCCCGGTTAGCATATATGCATGCATATATATATATATATATATATATATATATATATATATATATTGGAAGGAATAAAATTAATTTCACACGAAGAAATCAGAGTCACAAGTCAGTGAGCATACAAAGAATCATAAATCCATTCGATATCAGTTGCAAAGCAATCCAAGTAAAGTTGACTATAGAGGTCGGTCATTCAACGCCTAAGAATCTATTGGAATTATCATAGACACTAGTTGTCCCAGCGGGATTCGTGTTCAGAGCCCTCTACACGCATAGCCATCTTTGAGAATATACCTAGTTATTGACCGAAACGACTTCGAATTCTACAGTGATAGGGTTATTTACATAAATGTTAATAGGTCTACCAGTAAATTATTTAATTCAGGGACTAAACATCCCAATAATCCGCATTCAATAGGTAGAGTTTGTGTGAATGCAACCACCGTACTAGGGATAGCTGTATCTTACATAGCATGTGTCGTTTTGATTCATCAATTCATTACCTAATATATCTCATCCTTAGCTTGCAACTTAGTCTCGACTGCAAAGGTATTACCAGGATTTAAAAATTTCATGGTTGAATTTCTGCACCACGGACACCTTGACTCTTCTCAAGAGACATTAAAAGCCATCTTAGCAACTGCAGAGAAAATCAATTACCTTTCCCTGTTTTATGAAAATCTACATTTGTGAACAGAATATTGAAACCTGATTGGTTATTTGGCAGTTGCCTGAGTGGCCTTTAAATCACACCTTGCCAACCAATTTCAAAAATAAGTAGGCGTCCGGTATACTTTGAGTATATTTAGAGTGACTTTGAAGATCAACCTAGCAACAACTGACCAATCAGGCTTTGGCGTTTGGTCTGGAGAGGCACGTTTCCATAAAATGAAGGAAGTTAATTGGTTGTCTCATCAGCTGCCAGGGTGGCCTTTAAAGAGCCACCCGAAATAACCAACTGGATTTTTTTATATCATGGAAACACCCTTTCCAACCTTAAATGCAGAAATTAAATTGGTTATTTCGGGTTACTTTAAAGGCCACCTTAACGACTGGTGAGACAGCCAATTACATTCCTCTATTTTACGGAAAAGTACTTTCTCAGGTGAAATACTGAAGTCTGATTGGTGTATTCAGCAGTTGCTAGGGTGCCGTTTAAAGTAGCCCAACTGGCTGGCAAAGTAGTTTTTATAAAATAGAGACGTAATTGATTATCTCTACAGCTGTTAGGGTGGCTTAGTGTGAGTAATTTAGTCGATTGGGTATCATCGCTTCATTTAAATGTCTCTTTGCCTCACTAAGTTACTAATTTAAATAGTAGTCACATCGATACCTATTACACACAATGCACGAGTGTACACATACCGTCTTACAGCTGTGTGGAGAGTATTGATCATTTTCACCTCAGTAATCTTGTTCTTCTCTCTTCCAACTTACTGATCGAGTGTAAACTACGCCTGTGGATTCAAGTTCTATTTTCTCTTTAAAACATCCTTACAAATTATAAACCCTTAGATGTGGCTAATTGTTGTTTCGCCTGCAAACTTCAGTCGACTCAATAGGCGTAATTCTTTATAACAGAATCCAAGTATTCACACACGAAAGTGATCATATACATTTGTTTCAATTTGTGTTTACATAAATCTAGAAATTGTACCATCAGGATAAACTAATTGAACCGTGTTGGTTAACATGAGGCAACGCCAAACTTTTGTCAGACCATAATCACGATCTAAATCGATACTTGAAAAAAACTGAAATAGACCTGCCAAACGTGCAGTTTATTTCAGTTGTACGTATACATATACTACATGTCTGCCTGTCCATCTATCATTCCTCGAAAGATAGAGACAAATTGATAGTAACACAAATTGTGTTCCTGTAAATCGCTACACTTCACAGTATAGTGGGATAAAATCAATAAACTGAAAAAAATAACAGAAATGATGGTAGAGAGCTAAACGAAAGATGAAAATGAAAATTAACTGAGATGGGGAATTACAACATACAGGATAATAACATGCATTCGTATTTACAGCGGAGTTAAAAAAGCAAGTGCATTGAGCCAAATCACGTAGTCTTATTTAGCACACAGTGTTTTCTTCACTCGTATAATCGAGTGTGTGCACTTTAATTAACTCGCGCATCTTCTTAGACTATCTGATACCTATAAAGTGAAAACATCATGCACTACTGTACCTAATATTTAATCTCTAATGTGTATTCGGAGGTTTCGCCGACGGTAAAATTTGAGTAAGCTAAAAAAAGCCAGATAAGCTTTTCTCATTGACGTTGGAATTTTGTTGATTATCAGATAATCACTGTTGATGTAATGCTACCAAACATATTAGACACTTTCAAAGTGTTCTGAAGATCACATATTGTTAGTGCCTTCATTCAACAAAAGTATATCTTTCGCCCATTTCAAGTTTGACTATAAATCGGAGGAAAGCAATGCTACTCCCATCGATATGTAGGTGATAAAGTTGATAAAAAGTAAACGAAGTGGACGTAAGTAACAAACATTAATCGATATTAACCTCTCAGATGACAGGCCTCGATTATTTGACTGCTCAGCCTTAAGTATTAGATATGTTCGCAAAGTCCCTAAGTCAATGAGAGGCACTGTCAAAGGACTTCTGGGTCAACAAAGCCGAAATCTGACTTCATCCTAAGCTGTGTGGGAAGTTAACCAATTTAATAATAGTATTTGTAGAGAAAGACGAACTGATTTCACTCTCTGGTCATTTCATCAGTTGCATACGCCAGGGATCAATAAAAATTCACCGTTAAAACTAGCATGTTTTGTATACTGCGTCTCGGATCATCACTTTTCGGAGTGCTATTTTTATTGAATTATTAACATCGTTTGAAAAGGTTGAATGTGCTAAAGTGGCCACAGCTAGTATATCTTTGCTTTAAGGTCTATTAAATTGGGGAAATCTGGCCAAACCACCTTTGTGTAAGGCTGAGACCTAGTTGGTTCCATGAAATTTGCTGCTTCCGAACTCCGGTCGGGTATCGAGCACCTATGAGTCATACGATTTAGAAAAATATCCTGATCTCGGCATGATTATCGTAAAGAATCCACTATAATCTAATTATTTCAGTCAACTATAGGGAACTATGCCTAACACTAATACTGTACATAGTAACTAATAATTCCAGGGCATAATATATAAAGAATTCTTTGAGAAGTACACCAGGATCTGCTGACTATTCTTACTTCAGGATGGTTACAAGCTTCACAAGTTCGGTCATATTTGTAAGGTTAGCTTCAATGTTCTACCTAGACTCAGTCTAAATGGTTGTCTGCAGCAGTACGTCATTTGATTCCAGCCTGTCTCTACTTATGATTCTAGATGCTAGTTATCACAGTGGATCTTTGACTTATCTTTGGAGATAGGTAGTTTCTCGAACTTTAGCCCTTTCCTTACAATCTGAGAGATAAATTTAAACAAATATTGCTCCCTTCTACATCTTTTCGCTTTCTTATCCACCACTGTTTGCAAACACTGAGAGAAATTGTATTCAGCTTGCATTTCAAATAATTTCACATAGCGTTTGGAATGAGATAAATACATACTTTTTGGATCAGATAGTTCAAACGAAGCTACTAAGATCCAATGCTCTTCTAGGTCTTTATTTGCGGACCAATGTCCCTAAGACTGTCCATACAGCCAAGCAATTATTCTGTCACACTTAGTCAGAACGAAAATACCTGTCATTTCCTAATAAAACTGTGTTATCAGATGGGTTTTAAGCATGGTCCTGTTAATCTCATATTCTATCTGAGAAAGCTAAAGTTTTTCACCGATGCAAGTATATGGATGTAAACACTAACGTGAACAGCATCCAGGAACTATCTTTGACGGTGAATAATCGAAATCTAGTCTGTTTGCTTCCATTTTTGACAAGATGTTCAAGTCAAAAAGTGTATCTTTTGATTCGTAAAGTTCGTAATCCTCAATAACTGAGTATGCAAATACTTCAATGAACAATAAGTTCTTTCCTTACTCTGGATAATCTCATGGAAACAAATTTTAATTTAACTGTACAATGATATCAATAGTGGACGGTGGTTAGCAGTGGGGTCTAGAATGTGCTTTTCGTCTTGTTTGGGAAACATCAGCTGGATGTACCTGTACTGGATTTCACTGCTAGCCACTATTCACCGTAATATCATTGTATAGTTAAATCACCAGTGGATACCGATCAATTCGATCCAACGAACGATAGGATTACACAAGCAAACCCATATAAACTGTACAATGATGGAACCTGCTTTCAAATAAAAAGCATCAACCTGATTTGCAGATTATCTGCACTATCTAAACGTGAATGACTACACGTTCACTATGATATTCAACAATTAAAGTAGACTGGTGAATAAAATTTAAGGGTTGCACATTAACTATGGCCGATCGTTAGCACCTGATTGAGGCCTAAACGTTGCTGAACAATGGATCGTAGTGAATTATTCAGGGAAAAACCTGTTCTGCCTCTGATCAATTTTTTATTTTCAAAGTGACTTGAAATATGTTTAAATAGGAGAATCGCATACTCATTTAATGCCTTTCAAGGAGTTCATGATTAAAGTCATATTGTGAATATTTTATATCTTAATTATTGATTCTAATCCTATGGTTTGTTTCTTCCATATTTTTTTGTTTATCCTCTGGTTTGATGCTTTTGTTATTTCTTTTTATGTATGACATTACACATCCACCAACATAAATATGTATGTAATCTGTGTTTCACACTCCTATATGTGAATATATGTGTATATCTATATCCATGCATTGCTATATGCCTTTTACCTGTACATACACCCAACTTACTCCTGCATGCACATATAATATGTATACATCATTTAGATGCTTGTGAACGCTTGACTAGTATAGCTGATTTAGCAAAAGCAGCTGGTGTTGGGCGGAGTTCATACTGGCTTTCGCCTTCTGCTCTTCCTCTGCACCCTACTTCCTATTCTTCGACATCAATAGCAACCAAGAATCCACCTAATCGAGCTGATTAAGTAGCCACAGTCATGCACGTAATCATTCTGGGATCAGTTCAAATAGTAGTTGTAGTGGTAGTGGTGCCGGTATTGATGCCAGTACAAACAGTTCAACAACTACAAATTCTATTGTAAAGTCTTTAGAAGCTCCTGTACACAGTAATAATTCACGTTCAAGATCTGTCAATAAACGTTCACGTTATGATTCTCATAATTTATACCAATTAATGATGAATGGTCCCGGACAAGATAATGCATTTTACCTTGTTATGCCTAATACAAAGCCAAATCCAGCAAATCATAACAGTTGTGGTGTTAAGACAAATACACTAAAAAATAGAAATCAGTCATCTATGCGTAAATGATTTCATTTCATATGATCTTTATGGTTGTATTCGCCTATCCACATCATACACATATTTATGCAACAAATTCACCCTTCGTATAATAGTTACCTATCAACAATTTCCTCCTTCTATACAAAAAACAACATTCGTCTTCTTCAAAGATGTTTCATCTTCATTTCATATACTTTTCAAAAATGTGGTCTTCCCCAACCCTTCTGTTGGCTACAATTCTTCTTACTTTCATAAGCTACAACAAAACTATCCACATACATCTACACACACAGAGACAGATATTTACGGCAGTTTTGATTATCTAGTAAGCAAGCATGCTCAAAGTTATTTTCTGTTTTTATCGTAATCATTACAGTTGTTTATTTTTCTGTTGTCCAGTGCGCTTCCCTGTTTATGTTGTCGTTGCCTTGTTATCCTCATCATCATCATTAGCATCATTATTCCTGTTGCTGCCATCAATGTCATCATTTTTGTTATTACTACTATTGCTATAATGAATTATGATGATTTTGGGTAGTGACACCCTGATTATGCACTGTCTTTTATAAACGTATCATTTTATTTGATACATTCGTCTAAATGACAGTAGTATTTTTGTGTGCAAACTGTTTTCGCTCTGCATGTAACGTGTGTGTACGCTTGAGTGTATTTTGAAGTGAATCACTTTTTCTGAACAGTCTGTATATACGAGTGTTTATCTCATCCCTGTTGAACGTGTGAGTAGGGGCTAAAATATTCACCCAAACATACACACATATTTTGTTTGTAGTCACAATGGTGAGGCGGCCGAAGCTAGGAGGAGACAGTTGCCAGTGTTCCAGGCTTTTTGTAGTTCTCCACCTGAAAACTACCTTTAAAAATCAGACAATTTTTCACAAACAAGTGAAATAATGAAGCATGAATAACACACCACTCATGATGAATCTGTTCAAAAGTTAAGTCTGGAAACATCTAACTGAATACATTTGATGAATAAGCTGAGCGAAATCGCCGTTAACTTTTGGAAGTGTTTGTGAAAGTTTGTAGTAAATGACATAGCAGTGTACTACAAAAGAAGTTATCTCTAAAAGAAAAATTATTCCTACAGAAATTTTGTTCACTTCATAACTTTATAAGTTACACCCCGTTTACTGACTATCACACACCTGGTTTATTATATTGATTCCATTTTAAATCACCTCTTGCAGGGATGATCTGTATGGTATTTCGTTTTAAAAAATTGAAGAAACCTAGTTCGTTTACCCAGTCGATCAAGGTTGACTCTATACCTCCAAAGTCGTATACGTATGTTACCAAAACTTCAGTTCTAACTAAATTTTACTATTACTTTTAAACTACATTTTACATAACGTTGAGGGAGCATCATAAATGTTATTGGTTTGTAGATTTCGTTAACTTTGTCGACACGTTTGATTATCTATCAAGGGAGCTGTGTAGAATATGTATCCGTTTTGTAGTCGTAGTGAACTGTAGAACTAATGTGAGAGAAATCTTGAGGTTAAGGCGACGTAAACGCTTGATGGCCATTGATTTTTCTCGACCGAGCCCATCAATGGTGTAATCTGAGTTGAAAATCAACCATTAGGTCTCAGGTAATTGTTTTTTTTCTTACCTCATACTGTGTAGTTTTCAAGTCCCTGATTTTATTTCCTATGAACCATGAGGCCACCTAACCAACCAGTTAGAATTTGGACGGTACGAAGTGTTCAACTTTTTCAGATGAATCACTCCCAGCATCTGTTGATCACCTTGATCCTAAACGAACGAAACGGTCACCTGTTGTTTAGATAATTTCAGATTGATTACAACTCCCCATGTTAGTTAGTAGTGAATAACGTAAAAGGTTAGATAAACTTTTATGGAGGAATGCGCTGATGACTTCACGAAGTAAATTTATTAGATTTTAACTGGCTGAAGATACCGTCTAAAGATGCAAAACAGTAGTGAAGTTTTACGTGTCACTTCACTTGTTAACAATTTTCTCTCATTATGGATGTTGTGGCTAATGTTGGGTATTTTGTGAATATTAATGTATGACTGGGATTACTTGAATTGAAAATATTACTAAGTTAATAATGTAATCATAAAAATTACTTTCCAGAATCATTTGTATATTTAAATCAACTTGAAAACCAATGTAAATACTCATGTATGTATGCATAAATTAGTACTTGAGATAAACTTGGACTCAAGAAGTAGTTCGTAATAGTTTACAGAGAAATCTGTCAACATGGGGTTTGTACTTGTCGGATCTTATCAGTTGCACATCTTGTTTGGTTTGCTAATGGGAGTGCTAAACAGTACAGTTGACTGATTACATCTGATAAACCAACATGAATAACAGTACACCATGATATTGAATCATTTGGTTTATTGATTATTTATCAAATTCCAACCATTGAAAAGAATTCAATAAAATGACAGGTGTTACTGTTTATTGACTGATTCCTGAAGTGTTCATAGCCCCCAAACTGTAATGCAAACGGAAATTTACTTCCTATTTCACTCTATGATCAATAATGATGAACAGAAGTAGAGGGTTTATTCCCGAATTTATTATAGCGCATATCTCTAGTCAATCAATCATCTGAAGAGCAAAGAAAATGAGTGACTTTAAAGGCCACTCTAGCAACTACTGAAGTCACCAATCAGGTTTCAATATTTCGTCTGGAACCGTATTTTCTAATGAAATAAAGTAACTTAATTGGCTAACTCAGTAGTTGTTAGTATGGGCTTTAATGTTACTCAAGGAAAACACATTTACTCACAACTGTTGAGACACTTACTGTTTTTTCTTCCTAAAATGATGTAGAATACTTAAATAGAACTTCGATTTTAAGAGTCTTCGAATAGTTAGCCCTTTTCTTGTTTCAGGATTTGATCTATGACACCTAACTGCTCACCAAATTTCATTTTTTTCTCAAGGCTGTTCTGTAGGTGAATGTCATGTAGAGTATTTGGCATTTGATCTACCCATGTGTAACTTACAAGATTTCCATTACCTTTATTGTTCAGGTGTACTCAGCATGATGAGATTTTTCCTCTAATTTTAAGGTTGACTGTGATCAGCTAGAGGATGCATCAGCTGCTTCGTTTATCGGCAAAGAAACGGGGCTTTCTTTATTTACTTACTCAATCGAAATTTGTATACATGTCTAGGTAACTGTAATTGATGTAGTTAATTCATTTATTTGCTTTTAATTTTAATTTCTGTCGTCTTTATAAATAATTATACTAGCAAAATAAAGTAATAAACGTACATTTTTGTTGATTTCGACGTCGTCAATTCTTTTTGTTTTGTTGTTTGTTAACACTTTGTGCCAAACTGCATGAATGTGTGATTTGAAACAGAATTTATCGACATTTCTCATGTATTTACTTAGTTTAGTTGTGTTCATTTCAGTTCGTAGAGTATGTAGTGAGTATAATAATAACATTAGTGATAATAATCGTTTAGCCTATATTTTCAGTCACTTTGTGTCACGTTTTCTCTCTCCTTGGGTCCTGCGTATGTGTTTTGTGTGTGTGTGTGTGTATGTTATGTCAACTGAGAATCCAGTAAAACTGGATTTCGTTTCAGCTAACCAAATTCCGGTGATCTGAACAACTTTCGTTTTCCAAGTTGAATTCTTCCGTTTTTACTGACTCAGTTGGAAATAAGGTTGAGCTAATTATTATCCTACATTTCAAACACTGAATATACGGAAGAGGATGACTATCAGTAAACTGTTTACATCGTTTGATATATCTGTCTGGCTTAATTTGATAATTTGCCCTCAACTAGAAATTGCTTCTAAAGTCTAAGGATCTTTTTCATCACCGTGTATATTATTGATAATCAGTCAATCACAGAAAATCTGAAATTACTACATGGGTATTTTTGTTCTAAAATCCTTTAACTATATCCACTGGCCATTAGGAGTCAAATTACCATCTGTATGAAATGAACCTGATGAATCAACGGATTAGGTGCGCGAAAGAGAACATTAGAATTGCCTTTTCCATTGGGTTCAAAAGTGTTAAGATGTTCAATATTTACAATACTGAGTAAAACCGATATTCACTATTCTTACGCAATAGTTTCCCGAATAATGTAAACTTGAAATGAAAACCCTCTTTTAATGTGATATAAATATCACCAGTTTTATTAAAACAATAAATGTACTGTATTTTGTATCCTTATTTATGATTTTTATCAAGATGATGATTGTTTTTAACGAGAACAGTGGTACAAAGAAAGACGGTTCAAAAAGTTTGTGTTTCTACCAAACCTTATAACATTCTTGTTTAACTGCTTTAGCTTTTCCATTCGATTTTTACTGAGGAAAAAAACAATATTATAACATGAGCATCAGGAAGTGTGTCCCAATGCCTTCATTTTAAAAAGTCTATATCAGCATTACCTGTATACTTAACTGGACCGAATTGATCAGTTTTTATCGATACACATCAGGTTTTTGTACAGACGCTTGGTAGTGTCATGGAATCCATGAAGTTTGATTAAGAATTAAATCTTTGGTATAAAAGAGGTGGTTTTTATGAATCCACTATGTGGTGGATGACAACGATAGCGTTTGAAACGATGAGTAGTGGTATGTTAAAGTCCCATTACCTGCTAGAAAATAGATGAACTCAATCGAAAGGCTGTGAAAAGGCCGAAATGTATGCATCCTAAATATCATTACTGACCACCAACAAAGTTGACATCCTCATTTTTATATTCATAGCTTTTATGTATTTATGATATGTAAAGCAGTTATCGTGCTTTAAACAAAAACATTTCCTTTTTAACTTACTATTTATTGTTTTTTTCCAAACTATACCACCAATAGCTTCTCCATGGAAATCAACCTGTGATGTGAATGGAGATCTAAGCAGTTCAACTGACGGTGTTGTACCATTGGTTCAAGGAATGTCAGCATTCCGGCGTAAATCCTCTTCTCTAGTTAACAGACCAATTCAACCCTTAACACACAGTAGTACAGGTAGTTCATATGTCTCGATACCTGCATCGAACAATGGTATAAGCCAAACAAAAAACAATAACAATAATAGTTTTAAACGTAGTTATGATCGACAGACATTACCAGCACGTCGTTCCGTTGCATCACTTCCACAGTCATCTAGAAATAGTATACATTTGGAAATATTTGATGAAAAAAGTGTAGATGACAATTTACATCAACGACGTGCATCAGCATTTTTGATACCTGCGTCTAGTAATATGACTTTGACATTTTTAAAAGAATTCAGTAACAAACAAGCTGGTATGTGGTCTGAAAATACTATAATTATTGCATCGTATAAATTTGATAAATACACTTTTTTAGCATACTACTAAACCGTATGAGTACATAGAAACCAGCCATATTAATCTGCAGATTTTTCTCGTTTGTAACCAAACTGATTAGCAGTTTACCTGAACTAACTCATCATATAGAGACAAATTTCCTAAACTATTTGAGTATGGCAACATAAAATGGATAAAATAACCCTGAACTGAATTAGATTTGAATAGTTTGAGTCAATTCGTCCAAGTATCCCGCGAATGAGTTCGACCACACTTATTCTGTTTCATTGCTGATTTTCAGGATCGCTTCCACTAGCATCTCTGTTGGCATATATTCTCCTTCTATGTGCACTCAGTCGCCAAACTCCGACAGGATCTGGTCATTTCAGCTCTGTGAATCAACACTAGGAAAGTGATTATCATGGTTTCATCAATAGTTTGTGGAACTGTGACTGATGAGTTTCTGAGGATAGTTACCGCCTATTTCTTAATCTTTCAACTGAAAGTTGAGGAAAGTTATGCTGATGACTGTTTCAAATCTATGAATGAAGTTAATTTGATTTTCTGTTTTGAATACTTTGTTATATTATTCAGTCCAAAAAATAACATTCTATGCTGCCCCTTTTTGCTGCTGACATTCCATTGGTATGATTCATGATCAGGATGTATCTAGTGAACTTCAGCGCCACTATGTAGGACAAGTATGTGATGAAAATCAATGAAAGACAATTCAGCTAAGAAAATTTTCCTTTTCGAAGAATCATAGTTACAACAAAAATATGCATTCGTTAGTGGCTAATGGGTAAACTCAAAGTCATCAAAACGACCAGTAAAGTCATAAGGTGATAACGACTGAAAGGTCAAATGGTCATCAAAAATTGCTTATAGGGTTATAGTAAATAAATAGAGAAGTGAATAAAATGTCTCGGGGAGATACAACCAAGGCAAAATTAGAGATTGAGTGTGTCTTTTTGAACACAAAGAGCAGGCTTGTACTGCTGGATTACCAAAGCTTCTTCTGTATGGAGGTGGTGAATACTAACTCGCTTCGAAATGTTTGCCTTCACTTTTAAATGACTTTGAGAGAAGACTATCATGGAGCGCAGTGACCAGAGATAACCAAATGCCCAAGAATCGAGCTGCTGACAGCTTTACAGTCTTGTAGAACTCAATGGTGACATTAAGTGATGATTGTGCTATATTGTGAACTGACAGAAGTAGGAACTATGGACCGTGGATTCAACCCTGTGGCTCAATGGTAAAGTGCTGGCGACGGAACCTGAAGGTCGTGGGGTTCGATCCCTGACGGGACGGAATCGTGGGTGCTGAGGAGTCCCTTACTGGGAGGAAATAGCTACCCAGTTCTCCCAGGTTTCCAATGTTCCTCCAAACTGATGTCAGTCGTGATGAAAACCAACTTAAAAATACCTCTAAATCCCCACAAACAGCAAATTCAACTAATTGTATCTGTCTTATCATACTTGTATGTCACCTTTTTGTTTATTTAGATCAAGATACTGATGTTTCTTCTTGGAGTGTACAAATACAAAGCCTCTGTACAGCGGTGAATCGTATCGTTGAAGGTATTGAAAGTGCACATCCTGATGGGTTCATACATATTTAAGTTCTAAAATGATTATAGACCCACCAATGTGAATGAATCAAACTTCCTGCTGAATGCATTTCTGCTGTATTCATAACTTTTATTTACTGATAAAAAAATAGAATCTATGGTGTGTGCTTCATTACAGTGATTTGTTATGTTCTCGAAGTTTCAGTAAATAAATAAACTAAAGTGCTATATTTTATGAAAGTGTTTAAAGTAGTCATGAAAGGAAACTGGAAGCCAGTTGAACTGTTCATTAAAGTCCTCCACTCATTGTCCTTATTGCTCCTTCTGCGAGTGAATCAAAGACATTTTCTTCCCCGCATAATGTCAGTAACAACCGAATTTCTCATCCTATATCAAAACAGTTGTCTACTGTTCCTTTTCCCATCCAATAATTTTTGCAACTACCGTTACTTAGATTGTTTGTAAGTTTGTTCTGTGCTTTCGCAACTCATTAGGTTTAAAGCCAATGGGAGTGTGTTCGCGTCCATTAGTCAATTTGGAAGAAGCAAATGAGATCCATTGTCTCTATCTAACCTTTCCTTGTGGTGGTCTTTACCGCTGCTACTATAGCAGACTTCAGATAGTAACAGGCTTCTTTAAGATGGGTGACATTGTTTTGTCCTGATAGCTGTCTCCAGCCGTTTCCTAGATATGTATGTAATTGAGTGGCTTTTGGAACTTTTCGTGGTCGTAGTTTCCCTACATCCATTTAGATGAAGGCATAGGCGTACTGAAACTAACGCGTGACACTGTTCATGTATTTGCTGTAACAATGATGGCTACGTTTTACTGACCCTTTTGAGTGATAACTGGTGTCGACATAGTTTGTAGTTATGATTGATTTGAGGCTGGTGGATGCGACTGAGATGATACCTGTTATTGTCTGAAATTCGGTGTGACAAGAAATGTGTGATTGTCTGTTCATTGTTTTAGCTGGTCAATATCTGGTACCTTGGTCTTCGAGATTGTACTTCACAAGGACTCAAGAAGAACTAACCTTCCACGGTGTGAGTAGCCGGAAAGTATCAACTACCCTCAACTGTGTCAGAACTTCATTTCCTCAGATCACTATTAACCTTTCACATTCTTAACTTATAGTCGTCCTTCAAGTCGCTCGGTAAACATTCCTGAATGGTCTTTAATTTCTTTCAGCTGTTGAATCAGAGTCCACAGAACGGCATCTCTTCTCCGCCCACCAAACAAAACATTCGAGCTTTTCATGTTCGCACAGTCCGTCAGTTAGGAAAAGTAGCTTCGTCAATCAAAACTAGCATTGTGAACCATGGGCTTGTTGTGTTATAAAACACGCATACGAGACCCAAAATGACGAATCCGTGAAACTCACCCTTCGAATGTCTGAAGATTTAATGGGTTGTTTTCGCGATTATACAGGTTTAAGTAATAATATTGTGTTAAGGTAGAAAGTGCACTGCTTTACTGGATATCAGTTGACAGTAGTCTATTAGCTGTTCAACTGGACGATGCAGTAAATAATGGTGAAACTGACCGTTATCTCGTTGTAATCTCTCCTTATACCCCGTTGACTGCAGTGAGGATCACGTGAGGGATGGGCTCTACTATAAGCTGCCTCCTACCGAAAGTCAAATGATCAGATGTGATTTTCATAGTAGGTGATTTCAATGCAAGTGTGGGTAAGCTAGGTTAGACCGAAAGACACTTCAGTGGCAGGAGAACGAATAGATAATGGTGATTTCCTGTTACAAATGTGCTCGAACACCTATCTATTTCCGGTCAGCACGAATTTCAGACATAGACAGACATTGACGTGACGCCTACCAACCTCAGCTTAACGGTAGACACAGACAGACCATATTGTCATCAGTTATCTCTGGAGAGGGTCAATATAAGATTGCCGTTCCTTCTGGACTACGTATCTGAACAGCGGTCACGCGTTTGTTTGAGCACACGTATGTTTGCACCTACATTCTCGTGATGAGACTGCAGTAACAAGACGATTGCGAGTGCGGCTGGGTGATCAGAACACTCACGCAGCTTTCAACGAGAAGATGGATAGACAGTTATCGGAACAGGACAGTGTTACTCACCCAGAAGCCCGGTATCATTCCTGGTCTTCTATAAAAGCAGCGGTTGAGACCGTAACTGATTCCTGGAAGAATATTAGAAAGGGTCAGTGGGTCTCAACGACTTCGTAATTATACGATGCACGTGAAGACATTCCCAAGAGCTCCATATTTAATGTAGGGTGGAATGAACTGAAACTTGGACTGACGAGTTTATACAATGACCACGAGCACTGGTGAGTAGCGAAAGCTAAAGAGATGGGAAAAGCAGCGGCGATAGTTATTTAGACCAATTCAGGAAACCGGAGGAAGTAGGTCAATGGTTAGTGAGGCTAAAAGTGTAGAAGAATGGGTCTCCGATCAGCTCGTAGGGCAATGACTGAAAAGATGGGTGGAGGACTTCTAGGGACAGTTGAATTAGCTTTCCACCTACTGTTCCATTTCTCACTATCCAGTCGGATTCTCATTGGGACATTGAGATATAACCCGAAACTCTTGGATTAGAAGAGTCAAGAAAGCTGTGAGTAATCTGAAATGAGAAAGGGCAGCAGGGCCAGGCGAGTTGATACCGAGGGTATTCAAAGACAGGGGTCACTGTTCACTAGTCAGGTCAACTAAAATGCTAGCCTTGAGGGACCATATATTGTTCTACTTGACTAGTTCCAATCACTGGTTGTCCCAGTCTTCAAGTGAGAGGAGCAATCTGGTCGAGATGACATGCTTACCCGCACTGGAGTCGTGTATACCTGTATCCCAATCACACCACATGTCTTTGACCCGAGATTCCAGATATTTGGCCTGTAGGGTTTTTTGTTTGATTTGGGGGTGGGTGCAGATATCAAGAGCTGCGGAGTGTATTTTGGAGCGTGGTTCGAGGAGAAGAGGGTTGGTGTCCGTGAACTCCATTCATTGTCATGGTATGCAGAAGTGGACGGAATTACGGTTGAAGTAAAAACACCGACTTACAGAAGTTGAGGAGTGATCAGAAGTCAATGACATTGGATTTTCACACACATGGTACACTTCAAACATTTTTTCAAAACAGGAGTAGCCAATTTGTCTCAATATGATGAATTCACTGCATTTCGTCACGCTCTTCTCAACTCCGTCCAGGCTATGAAATATACGTAGAGGAATGCAATCCACATACCTTAGTTATCGAGATGAAGATATACCATTGATGGGAGATAATGAAGGAATCGATCGACACAGATTCATGAAGTCTAAATAAAATAAACTTATTACAAAAAGCAAAGTTATCTATCCTAATGCTCATATGGTCAGATTGTCATTTTGTTACATGTCATAAGTCTGGAAATGGAATCGGAGAGATTACGTAGGAGTATGTGATAAGTTAATATCGGGTTAGAAATTGAGAATGGATTAAAGACAAACGGTCTGATTCAGATAGTAAAATTATGGAGTTAAATTATCAACTGATTGTGAAAGAGGGTGAAAATGCAAGAATATTTCAATGAAATTTTGGAACGGCTTATGCTGAGTGATAATCAAATGAATGACTACCACAAATGTTGGAGTTTTTACACTGCATCCTTTTGAATGTTTAAGCTTGACTGAATTCTTCTGATAGCAATTGCTTTTGTGTATCTTATTAAATGGGCATTTTTTTTATATTTTATTGATTATATTGGATGGACTCGAGATGTGGACATCATGTGCTCCATGTATTAGGCGTTATCTATGTAACTTAATTGGGATATGTTGATGAAATCTATTCCCCCTTGAAAATTAGACACAAATACACCGTTGTCTGCTCTGAATCATCAAGTCCAGTTGTTTCCACTGTTCTCATTTTGACTCCTTCTATTGATTTCATAGAGCATACATTTTCTTTCAGGTATTTCTCTATCAAATGAATTTCTTCAGTCAGTTTATCTGATGAATAACGTTTCCTAGCCGTATGAAATATTTTTTTTACCTAGCTCCTAAATATAGCTTATGTGACAGAAACTGTTATGATGGAAATAGTGTCCGCGACATGTTTGTCTCCAGCAGATAGACCTTTGACATGAGTTATCTGTTCTTTGTTCAAGCTCTAAGTCCAGGATATTTGAATTTTGACTATTTCCTCTAAGAAACTCGGACTAGACATTGGAAATATTTGGTTTTGAACACACTGTCACTCATATACAAATATAGCCGATATCTGATATCAAATTTTTATTCGACACCCAATATTTGTGATATTATTCAGTCAAATCGTGATCATAGTTCACATAAGTTCTTGGTTTATCTTCACACCTTTATGATCTGAATCAAACCGTTTGTCTTTAATCCATTCACAATTTCTAACCCAATGTGAACTTATCCCAAACTTCCATGCAATCTTTCCGATTTCATGGCTAGACTTATGGCATGTAACAAAATGACAATCTGACCATATGAGCATAGGCATAACTTTGTTTTTCTGTATTGTCATTATTAATTTTCCCATCGGTTCCTAGTGGAATATAGGGCTTCAGTAGCACGTCCCCATTGCACTCTGTTCTCTGCAGTCTTTTCAACCTGGCGCCACGACTCCCCACAAGCTCTCATTTCTTCTTTACATGATCTCCTTCATGTCACCCTCAACTGGGATGCCCAACTCGTCGATTCCACTCTGGATTTCACTCGACGGCTTGGCCTAGCGCGTGATGTCCCCAATCGGTCTTCTCAGTGTATGTCGGATGCATTCTATCTCCACTTTCTTCTGCATATTTGTTGGGCGATGGGTTGTTGGTTGGTTCGTTGCTAGCCAGCCAGAGTTCCTTCTTGCTAATTCTCAGTATTCTGGCCATCTGATCTTCAGCATTGAGTGAGCGTAGGCGGCAGCTGTTAATCAATGTCTGTAGTTTGTTGGAAGTGCTTACGTGACGCAAGAAGTTTCTGAACCATATAGCAGCACTAACTTGACTGAATTAGTGTCGAAAATCCGGATATTGTTCACGCTTTGTGCTGAGTGCAGTGCAG